ACTGCATCACATTGTTGGCTCATATTTAGCCTGTTGTCCACAATTACTCTGATATCTTTTTCCTCTTCAGTTCTGTTGAATCACGTATTTTCCATCTTGTATCAATATATTCAGTTTCTTTTTCCTACGTGGAGGACTTGGCATTTGTCCCTATTGAATCTCACTCTGTTGCTTTCAGCCATGATTCAAGCTTATCTAGATAGCCCTGGATCTTCAATCTGTCTTCTAGGGTGTTCACTATTCCCCTCAATTTTGTATCATCTGCAGAATGGCAAAAAGGCCAAAGTGTGTGAAAATAGATCAAACTGCTTTAACATCGTTACTGCCATAACTGTAGGAAGTACCCTATCTGTTTTGAAACACTGAAAATCTAATGCCGTCTGGGCAGAAGTGTGAAGCATGAAGATTCAAAAAATGGCCAAGAAGAAAATTTTATCTAAGCAGAAAAGATTGAGTTCACAAATAGGCTCACTGATGTAAAGAGATCAAGGAAGCCAAATCCTCCCTCTTTAATTGGAAGTTGCATCTTTTTCAATTATATTAATGGTAGAATGTAACTACAAGGGAATTTATGAGATAAATTATTCAGGTTTGGAAATATTTTCTTGGTATAAATAGTAAAATATCACATAAACATTTTCAGGTATAGCATTTATTTTGAGTGTATTTATACTACCTCAAAAATTCAGCTCTAAAGTTGCCTGTGAATCAATGTCTTGTTAGGGCTTATTGATCAGCTTACTCAAATTTAGCATATTTGCTTGAGGTATATGTCAAGGAATAAGAATTCTCAAGTAATGAAATCTAGACAAAGTCGAAATTGCCAATTAACTACCATGTTTCCCTGAAAATAAGACAGGGTCTTATATTAATTTTTGCTCCAAAAGATGCACTAGGGCTTATTTTCAGGTGATGTCTTATTTTTTCATATACAACAATATACATTTATTCATGTACAAAAATCTACATTTATTCAAATACAGTCATGTCATCTTATTCTGCAACATCATCATAACTCTCCAAACCCCAAATTGTGTTGCAACAGATGTACTAAATACTGGCTGATGATCTTAACTGGGGATTATTTTTTGGAGTAGGGCTTATATTATGAGCATCCTGAAAAATCATGCTAGGGTTTATTTTCTGGTTAGGTCTTATTTTTGGGGAAACAGAGTAGTATATTACAGTGTATAGAATATCTCCAGTTGATATCAGTTCAGATTTTGACCAGTTCATACAACAGCTAGATAAGTAGCCATTTAAAAAAAAAATTCTGTAGCAGGCCTGGGACAGATGACTTGAGTTTTGAGATAAACAGTAAGAGATTACTGACAGAAAATATATTTACATTATAAACAAATATGGACAAATTTGTGAATTTGCATTAGCATTTGGGATCCCTGGATAGTACATGCTATAGATGGAATATCTAACATAGATGGAATATCAGTGGGCAAAGTGTACATCCCTGTCTGGTAAGGATGTACCAGGTAAGAAAAAAGACAAACCCATTGCCTAGGTCTTACTGTTGAATATAGATTTTTACCCATTTCTGAAATTCTGCAAGAAAACCATACATTTTAACATAGCCAGATTAAATTTCCAATAAATTTTGTCCAAGGCCTTCTCCATGTTCAAATAAACCATGGCCACTATGTCAGTTCTATCCATATTTAATACAATCAAAACAGCCAATCTGAGATTCTGTCCCCTCCCTGTTTTTGATAAAACCTAACTGATCCAGTTGGGCTAATCTTGTAGTAAGTTCCTTATACAGTGGTACTTCGACTTGCGAACACCTCATTTCATGACCAAATCAGGTCTCAAACAGAAATTACTGGAAAATTTTGCCTTAGGTCACAAACTCTGTGTTGGGTGACGAGTGCAATTGCGCCCATCTCTCCCCTGCTGAGCCTCATGCAGGGAACATGCACTCATGCGATTGCACTCGTGCTTGGCGGGGGGGATGGCTGTGATCGCACCCATGTTCCCTGCACAAGTATGGTCGTGCTGGGGGGTGGGCAGATGGCCATGATCTTTGTTCTTTGTCACTTTGCGTCAAATTTTTGTGGCTAAAAAAAAAAAAAATAGTTATAGAACGGATTAACCTTATTTACATTGAACCTTATGGGGAAATATGACTTGGCTCACGACCAGTTTGAGTCACAACCAGAGTCCTGGAACAGATTAAGTTCGTGAGCCAAAGTACCACTGTACACCTCTGAATAAAAACTATAAATCATCTTCAGTCTTGGAAAAACAAGAACCTTAAAGGGCTCTAGAAAGAGGACACCCACACAATATTCTGTACTTGGTTTGAAATCTAATTAGGGTGGTGAAATCTGTTTTTAGCCATTGGTGTAAAATATTATTTAAAACACCTGTAATTCATGTGTTGCCAGTATTTATCTGTCTGAACCTGATATAAATTCAGTTTCATCTTTTCATGGTGATGCAACCTAATCAGGCAAACTGTCAAGCTGAATAGCTATATATAAAGCTATATATAGCTTTGATATAGTGAATTTGGGTCTTTATTCCCTACATCCTTGCAACAGCTTTGAACTAAGCTATCCATATTCTGATATGTGTGCCTATGCACATGAGTGCACATACAACTTAAATGCAGACAGCATGGCTTGCTCAAAAGCAACAAAGACTATATGGTTGAAATGAGATTTGGGCCTAAATCTCCCACATCTAACACTGACATGCCTTCCCAGTGAGCAAGATGAATTCTTCAGTGGGGCTGTTGAATGATGTAAGCATAGTAGAGACACCCTTTCTGGCTTGGATGCTAACTCTGTAAATAGAATGGGCATATCAACAGTCAACTACTGGGGGCCAGCCAGATTGTACAGTGGGTTGAAACAACATCTTGCATCCTCCTAAAACCCTATACGCTAGCTTTAGCTATGGGTGACCTGTACATTTCTAACTACTGCTGGGGGTTATTCCTAGGAGCACACAGTGATACACAGTGGGCTTGATAAAGATAAAGGTGACATGATAGTAGCAAATAGTGTGTTTGAACAACTACATTTGGTATGCCAGCTGTGATCCTTCTTGAGTTGGACTAATTTGGCAATAGTTAGCCATACCTTGGTTACATGCTGTTTATACTAGTGCAGTGCATTCTGCATGGAGCTATCCTTGGAAATTGCCCAAATCTTCAATTGTTGCAAAATGTGCTAGCTGATGCTTGGTATTGTAACCCTACCACACCTGTCTCGAAAGGCCTGCGTGGTTGCCTTTCCAGAGTATACTTTCCAGGGTCAATTCAACATCTTAAACAACTTAGGACCTAAATATCTCATTATGAACCTACCCAGTTTTCAAAATCGGTAAGAGAGGCCTTCTTTTGGACAATATGTATTTATGTACTATTGTATTTCAATGTATTTTATCATGTTGTAAGCCGCCCCGAGGTTTCGGCAAGGGGCGGCATAGAAATGTTATAATAATAATAATAATAATAATAATAATAATAATAATAATAATAATAATAATATTGCTTATATGGCCCAATTGCTGGGCACATGTGAAAAGAGCTTACTCCTATGTTGCTCCCAACCTATGGAATATGCTTCCTCAAGAACTACAACTGGGGCCCACTTTTGTTACTTAGGTTGCAAAGACACACGTTAATTTATCATTTTAGATCATGAAGTTTTTTTAACCTTTTTAATGTTCTTGGTTTTGATTAAGTTGTGGCTGTGTTGTTTTAAACTCTTTTACACTGTTATATATACCACTTGGATGGCTTTTCAGAAAATAAGGAAATATGTAATAACGAATAAACTTTCCACTCACTTTGCACTGTCATGCAAACCCAGGTGACAGGGGCTGTTTGAGAATTAGACAAACTTTACCTTAAAACAAGCCATACATTCGAAAAGCATTTAAGGATTTCAGCTGCTTTCCTGGTGTTAGATGACAAAGAACAATAGAGTTGGGAGTCATCAGTTTATTGCTGAGACCTTACTCCAAACAATGACCTTTTCCGGTGCCTTCACATCAATATTAAATAATTTGGGGGACAAGTTAGCACTCTGTGGAAACTCATAGGCCAGTTTGCTAGCACCATTGACAGAAAGGACTAAAACCACTGCAAAATAGCACCTCCAAGGTCCAGCCCTGCCAAGTAGTCTAGATATACACCATGGTTAAGAGCCACCAAGAGCTCTCATAAATTCATGTTCCTCCCACCCAGTTCCAGACATAGGTCATCCACCAAGATGACTGAAACAGTGTCAGTCCCATATCGCAGTTGTAATTAGTGCAGATACTCTGTATTATTCAGTTATATTTTGAATTGCAACGTATCATCTCAATTACAAATGGTACTTTTGAAAGTGGCCTAAACAGGTTTCCTGGATTAAGAGAAGGTTTATTAAATTTTCACCTTGTTTAAGCAAGAATGAATGATTCACTCCTGCAAAAAGGCACCAGTCATTTCCCCTAGCCATGGCTTCAGTCCCATCTTGGCTGATTTAATCAGTGAAGAGTAAGGGTTGAATACATACCACTTCATCAGATACCCTGTCTCCATCCTTGAGATCTACAAGTTTAAACAAATCTCGAACAACTAGACTAATGTTTGCTGAGATTATATCGCTTTGACTTGCTCCAGTCTTGGTTCCTCTTCTCCAGCATCCTAGTAAATAAAGTCTCACACAGGGCTGCCAAACATTGCTGCTCTATTCTGCATGAATGTGATGGCAGAAGGGAAGTGAGTTTCCCCACTGCATAGGTCCTTAAATCTTCTTTCACCATGTGTGGTTAGATTCAACCAGATTTTTTTCGCAACAGCATTCTAGTTGACCTCCCTCCTGTTCTGTTGCTTTCTCTTTCTCTCCCTGTTAAACCAGGGAGCTGGCCTGGCTCTACTAGGAAAAAGGGGGTGCTTAGTTGTTTCTTCACCAAAAGTGTACGTCTTAATTGGGACAAGAAATCATTGCCATGATTTTGGTCAGTAACATGTAATTTACCTGTTACAGAAAATTAAACTACCTAGGAAAATATCCAGACGTTATCCAGCTTATGAGCTCTATCTCTATGGGGAAGGGAGTTATGCAGAAGAAAACAGAAACCTGATATTAACTGGGATTCCAGTCCTCTTCCTTCCTGGCAATGCTGGGAGTTACAAACAAGGTAAGCTATATCAGTAATATGGATATTTGCTTCTAAAGCAAAAATAGTTTGAATATCTTTAGAAGACTTTACAAAAAGGGACTGAAATCTGTCTTTACACAGATTTCCTGCTTATTTCATCACATTTAATTGTTAACAAGGTTACTCATCATCTGTCGGGATGCTATCATGCTATTAATGCTGTTTGCCTCCGCTACACCTACCATTTGTCTGAGAACCTAACCTATCACTTTTTTAAGACGTGTGAGGCAATGAGAAAATATAGGATACTTTAAAAATAGTTTTGCTGATTTCTAAGTAAGTTTTCTTTTATTCTACATGTAAGCAAATCTGTGAAGCCATTTTACTAATATGTAGGCTTTTTAACTGGTAAAAGATGAAAACCAGTTTTGAAATGCTGTCAGCAGAATGGATTATTGAAATAATCACAGAAAATACCATATGGACATCTGTAAATATATTTAGAACAAAATCCCATTGCCTGCCCACCCCCTCAATGCTATTTAGAGTAACAAAACTGGATTAGATGAAAACTAGAAGATGGAATGTTTTTTGACCAGTTAAAAAGGGAACACCATCTTATCAAGGATTATTCCAAGGTTTGCTTTTCACAGATAGTATTGAAGTCAGCTCAGTATATATGTCAGTGTATTTAAATGTCTTGCAAATGGCTATGCCAGAAGACTTTGAGTAACCATGTTAATTTTAAAGGCAGCATACAGGTAAAACATTGTTAGTCTGTCCTATAGGAGTATAATTTGTAATTTCTGCTCTTGGAGTTATGACTTGTTTCAATTCCGGTATACATTCAAAGTATATAATGCAATTTTTAGCTTTATAATCTCAGATTTCTTTTACCCTGAATTCCTCCCCCCAGCCTTGTTTCTGGGTAAGAGTTTGACTCTTACGCATTGATCGTACCTTTCCAAAACCATTTTTGCCTTTTGATATTGTGGGCCAGTTTCCCATCTTCTAAATAAATGGCCCTGCCATTTATAAGAATTTTAAATGTAACCACTTCAGTGAGAGCCTCTGTCACTTGTTCTCTTGTCTCCATGGAAACAGATGCTGACAGCCCAGAAGCCATGTTCTGGTTTTCTATCAAGCCCACCACACATCAGTGTGGAATTTTGAAAGGAAAGGGATATGAAAAGCATTTCAGGATGGTATTGACAGCCAAGCACCTTTCCTATGCTTTTATGTTCACCATTCCAGTTGCAGATTCCATCTTGTCAAGGGCTATTCCAAGGTTTCCTTTGAAAATATAATCCTCTCCTCAAATAATGGCTTGTATTGCTTGCAAATGCAAGAAGTTAGATGCAGCCTGGAGTTTGACAACAGTTTAGAAGCAGCTTAGTACTCCATTTGTTTTAGTGATATACCTGTGTGTTTTTCCTTATTATATCAAATTATAGGGATTTGCCCTAGCATCAAAATCTAGAGAATTTTACTACTAATCAGGTTGGATTTGATTTAAATCACTAGTCAGTAGGACTAGATTTAAATCATGGTTTTCTACATAATTTGCACACTTACTGGCCTACCCAGAGGTAGAAAAATTTCATTCAAATATTCCCAAACTGGGTCTCTTTTATGGCATGCTGTTTCTTCTCCAGGGAAATAATAATATGATAAACCTCAGCCTATACACAAAAAGATCCAGAGACTTGTGGAGTATTCTGCTCGAAAGTTTTCACTTTCAGTTTTGCTCCTTGACCCTCTCTCACACTTAGCTTCTTGTGCAGATGTATTCCACCCCCAACAATATTCTTCTATTCATTTAATTTTTTGAAACTTAGTACTTAAGAGGCAGTGGGTAGATTCTGTGTACATAGATTTGCAAAGGAACAATGGGATTAAGGTATTTTCTCAACTCTATATGTGTATTTTATGACATTTTTGCTGTGAAGAAGAGGCGTGTGATCTCTGCAGACACAAATTCTCAGCTTTGAGAAATGTAAAACCAAGCATCTGAGATAATATCTTCTAGACAGAAAAATTGTCCAGTAATCTTACAGAAACCTCTGGAAGAGCATGACAGTGTGAACAGATTAATGGAATTCATTTACCAACAAGTTTAAACATTACATGAATATATAGCCCCAGGCTGCATAATTAAAAACTAATCCTTAGTTCATGATGAATAACCTTTGGACTATAATGTATCTTAAACAGAAAACTATATTTAGGCAGATTTTTCTTCAAAAAGTATTTTATTTAAAAATCCAATTTAATATTTTAAAATCTGATTTTAAAAAATCATTTTATCCACCCTTCTAATAATAATTATTTTTTATTTTCAGTCCGTTCATTTGGTTCAATAGCACTCAGAAAGGCAGAAGACATTGACTACAAGTACCATTTTGATGTCTTCAGTGTCAACTTCAATGAGGAACTTGTTGCACTTTATGGTGGAAGTCTACAAAGGCAGACTAGATTTGTACATGAATGTATTAAAGTAATTCTTAAATTGTACAAGGTATGAAGATATGCATTATATGTTTATTTTTATTCACTTAGATGATTAGCCAAGTCTTAAGTAATAGCGAGGGCAAAGAGAAAAACGCTGATGCCTCTGTTTTATGGCAATGCTCTGTGTCTCAAGATGTTGCTGTTCATATGGAAAATAAATCTCTACATTTATTTTTGGTATAAGGTTTGTAACGTGCTCTGTGATTTGCCTGCAGTACTGTATAGGCTGAGTGTGTATCTTTATGTGCTTAACCAAAATGGCACTATTCACATACAGGATGAGAGAGATCAACAGGCTCAGGGAAACTCTAAACTTTGCAGAAGTACAGAAAGGCTTTAGCAAAGGAAAGAACACCAGCAGAGAGGAAGAAACCTAAAATCAGCCTGATAAGGACTGAGTGTACTCAGTACCATAGAATTCTTGCTGAGAGGAGGAAAACAGAAAACTCAGAGTAGGGATTGGAATATATTATCCTGGAAAAGGCCATGGCTGGCTAGAGTCCTGAATAAGGACACTCCACACTGCAGAGCCCACCTGTTTTTTTTTCTTTTTTCTATTGGCATGTTCAAACATTGGTATCTTACATTATTTATAATTATAAATTGAATTTTTAAGGCAATCTCACTTTTCTTTTTGAGAATTTTGGACTTCCATTATTTCCTTGTATTTCCTTGTGATTCTTGTAGTAAGTTTTTTTAGTTTAATAATTTGTATATTTATCCTAAACTCATTTAGGTTTACCTCTACTGTTGGTCCTACTTGGAGCAGACACTTTGAAATTAATGGAACTTAAGTCACACTATCATTGGATACAACCACTAACTTGAAAATAAGTCCTTTTTATTTCTTTAGAACTTTAATGTAACTGTACTTCAATTTTAGCCTTAGTCTGTTGGGTTTTTTAGTCCCAACAATATACAACAGAGTTAGGGTACATTAACTATTAAATGGGATAGAATGTGTGATTTCATATATTATCTGTGGTTTAATGTCAATTTTGCTTCATTTTTTGAAGGGCCAAGTGTTTGCGCCACGCAGTGTTACAGTAGTAGGTCATTCCATGGGTGGTCTTATTGCAAGAGCTCTACTGACTCTTAAAAATTTTAAGACAGAACTCCTCAACATCCTTGTTACTCAAGCCACACCTCATATTGCACCTGTAATGCCTTTAGATCAATATCTTACTGGTAAGTTTGCTCTTAGTATAATTTATTTGGACATGTGGGGCTATGTTCTGCTTCTTCCCCCTTTGGTACTTTTAAAGGACTTCATAGCCTTTCTCCGCATTCCTGTGCCTATATGCACTTAGTTTAATTGACTATATACCTTTAACCTAGACTCTGAAGAACTGGTAACAAGGAAAAGCAAAAAGTAAAAATAAAGTAACAAAACTGTGATAGGTAGTTATAACTCCAGAATTATTATTCTAATGCTTTCTTATGCAATTGTAACAGAAGTACCTGGGCTACCCTAGGCAGTGTTCAGACTTAAAGCTTTAACAAACTTATAGAGAAAGGGTTTTTAGTTATAACAAGACTGCCATCAGTAATGTGTTTCCGCATGCCCTCTCTGTTTGATCATTGCCTAGTGAAATGGTATCAGTAAAAAGTTACGGTTGATCGTAAAGTTGATGATAGGACTATAGAATGAACACTCATTAGGTAGATAGGGACTAGCTCATTTAGTGTTTTCTGGGTCAAAGACAAGGCCCTTGCACTATACCTGTAATGGATAAATAAGCCAATGCAAGGCACACAGCCACTGGCATAAAACGCTTTTGGAACTCTGTCCTCATAGGAGACAATGGATTTCTGTTCCAGGGGCCAAATATTTTCCTACAACAATCCTGCGTAGTGTTTTACTTGTCCTTTATGAAGTTATAAATACAGGGTGCCATGTCTTCATTGGAAGGGAGAATAAGAGTTATGAATTTGTTAAAAGCATTCCCTGGATCTGCTTTGACCATCTGGGCATTGTGATCTTCCAGGAACCCACAAAGACTTTATTCATCCATGACAAGCATGGCCAACAAGGCCTGTCAGTCTCAATATTGCTATTCTTTATGATTCTCTTCCATGTAGCTTGTGTCTCGATCCTGCATTAGAATTTAGAAGGCAGGTCTGGGGTCAAGATGATGAAGAGAAACAGCATTAAATGGCATAAATATGCATAAATGTAATATCTCACTCCCGATCGCTTATCAACTTCATTCCTGTGCACATTGAATTAATGAAGATGCAGGCCTGTAGTACCACATAAAGAAGACTGAGAAAAGCACTTGCTGATAGTTGCAAAGAATGAATAAAGAATTTTAGGATGTGCTTGATCAGCTGCTTTCCTCTGACAGGTGATATCAAGGGCTCCTAAAAGATTAACAGTTTGTCCTGTTGACAGTCTGTCTCTAAGCACATTGCTTATTCATTGTTATTATTTACTGCAGAGAGCAAAAGATCTCTAAACAGTTCACAACAATTTATAAACACAAAACCCACAATAAAATAAAAATAGCATACAGTTTCCAATATACAGAATGTAAAATGATTTAAATAGCTAAAACAATGTTCCAGATGTAACTGGACTGACATTAAAGCCCCCATTTATGCCATTTGAAAAGGAGAGTCTTAACCTGGCACTGAACTTGTGGAGTTGACCCCAGGCAGATCTCAACAGGGAGAACATTCTATAAGCAGTGGCTCCTTCCCCCTTCATGCTATATTTCAGGCCACCTTTACAGGAAGACCCTGGAGCTTTGATCATATAGTTCAGGTAGACTGGGAGAGGAATTCCATCAAGTATATATAAGGTTTATAGGTTAAAAATCAAGACCTTGAATTAGAAGCATATGGGCAGCCAGAGCAAGCAGGCCAGAATTGATTTTATATGCATGGACTTTCTGGTTCCACTTATTAAACTGGCTGCCGCTGGTTGTCATTAGATCTAGTACTGCTTCTGAACAGGCAACTGCACATAGAATGTATTGTAGTAATCTAAGCTGGAGATCACTGGTGCAAAGATTTCTGAAACCAGGTTATCCTCATCCAGACAGGGACATAGCTCAATCACTAGCCAAAGCTGCTGAAAGGCACTGCTATGCACGATCCTCAAGTGACAGAGATAGCTCTAGGAAGACACCCTGCAAAGATACAAACAAGTTTCTTCAAGGGGAGTGTAACCCAAGCAAAAACAGGTTGAACCATTCAATCAGAGGGCAGCACTAACAGATTCTTAATGGGATTGAGCTTCAGTTCGTTAACCCTCATCCAGTCCGTTGTTGCAGCCAGGCATTGACTCAGCCTTACCTTACCTGTCATACTGATGACAATGTGCTCCAAAACTCCAAATGACTATATTCAGTGGTTTCATGAGGATGCTAAAAGGTGAGGTTAACAGAACTGATCTCTGGGGAACTCCATGCTGAAGAAACCACAAGGTTGAGCAATATTCTGCAAGTACCACCTTCTGGAGCCATTTATCCACAATGGAGCAATGCAGTACTCACCACTCCCAGATCAGTGGCCAAATGAATGCCATGGTCAAAAGTATCAAAAACATCTAAGAGATCCAGGAGTATCAACAAGATGATACTCTCCTCTCTTTCAGCATAGGTTAACATACAGGGTGTTTCCATGCCAAAAGCTTCGCCTAAATCCCAACTAAAACAGGTCTAGATAATCAAACTCATCCAAAAGTTATTGACACTGGCTAGTCACATCTGCTCAAGAACAATGCCCCAGAAAACATTTACTACTGGTCTGATGTGATTAAGATTTGTCCAGGCCAAGAGAGGATTTCTTTAAGAGTGCTCTAACCAGTGTCTCTCAGATGTCATGGGAGCACTCCCTCTTGCAAAAAAGCACCACCTCCCTAGCCCAGCTGGCTGTTCCTTCCCTGCTAGTTTTATAAGCAAGGAGGCAGGGATCTATTCTGGAAGTGGTTATACAAACCTGTTAAAAAGCACCCTGTCAACATCCTCAAGCTGAAACACATGCAAATAAACTGAACCAGGTTGTGCTCCAGATTTCTTTCCTGATGTAACTGCTATAACACTACAGCCTAAGTTCTGGTGAATGCAAGAGATTTTGTTCTGTAAGTGCTCAACAAATACTTAACAGTGCCCTTCAAATGGGTCTAGGATGTTGTTGGGGCCAGCAAATTAGGTTTGATTGGATTCACTAGATGTTTTCCTTCATCTGCACTCAAGCCATCTCCTGTATTATTTCATTGCTCCCAGCACCAGCATATACCAAGGCACCGTAGTCCTCGTATTACAGAGAGAGCACACAAGAACAAACATGTCAGCTGCTTGAATCAGCTCTGTGTTTCACTGATCAACCAATTTTCAACATGAGTGCTAGCCATATCAGCTGGAAAGAAAAACTAGAGCTCTCTGGAGATTAACCTGCAGAGGTAGACCATCTGAATAGGTTCCTCACCCTTACAGAAGGGAAACGCCATTGTTAAGTCTGAATCTCAGCAAGTGGTGATTTGACCATGGCAAAGAATGACTGCCATCTTCAGGCCACCATTTGTATGCCCAGCTGTGGGAAAAAATGATCAAGAATGTGGCGTACTGCACCTGCTGTGTCAGTGACATTTTGGGACAATTCACTGGTGGTCATGGAAGTCATGAAATCCTGAGCTGCCCCAAACAAGGTGCCCTCAGTATAAATGTTAACATCCTCCAAAATCAGACCCCAGCATCCCATCTGAGATTGTCAGCTTGTATAGGGAGACTAATGGGTTACAACACTGTGCTGGCCCCACACAAGGTGCAAGCCCTGCAGACTAGTGGTTAGATGGACAGAACACTGGGAGAATGTTCTTACAGGCCTTAGCAACCCCTCCTACCAGTAAGGAGGTGGAAATCTGTGAGTTCAACTTCCAGTGAGTGCACTGAGTTTACATGGGAACTTAGCCCATGTAAATGCTGTGCCCGTGAGAGTCTTTCTTCTGTGCATGTGAACTGCAGCCTTTGCACTTCATATGGTGTAGAAGGAGGCTGCCAGTTGAACAACTGGAATTCCACAAGCATTTGCAGACTTCCTCTTGTCTCAACTTGCTCACTAATTAAGATACCAGCAGGAACAGAAGTCTGAAAACGAGTGCTGGGAAGGGTCGTTGCAATCTACTCTCCATCCCTTAGATCTACCCTGACATTAAAGCAAGACCATATCATCATTAGCATGATATAGACAGACCTTATCAAACACTAAGCTTTAATATTTTTTGGAAATAAGACCCTGATTTTGGAAACAGGTTTTTAATAGAGCGCATTAAGTAGCATTAGATTAACTTCAGTTTAGGAAATAGGGCTTTGTGTACCATGTTCTTGTGTTACATTTTATTTGTGCTACTTCTTGCTATTACCAAAGATCTTAGAGTTAAGCTAAAAATGTAAACGTAATACTTTGGTCATAAACCGGAAATGGAGCTGGGAATCCCAGTGTCAAAGTATAATTTAAGCCTGTGAGGTTTGGTGAATAGCTGGTAGTACAGAGCAGTGAAAAGTTCCATAAAGGGCAAGAATGGTTATTTCCCTCCATTTATCATGGGTACTCTTGATTCTCCTGCTGCTTGGGTTGCTCTTTGCCAAAACTGGGAAAATAAGGGGACACTACTTAGTGTTATGGATGTCAGAGTATAATGAAATTATTTGCAGCTTGCTAAACTCAGACTAATGGAAGTATTACAAACAAAATGAATTAATTCAGGGACTGTGATGACTGAAATTTTGATTAAGAGAGCAATCCTGTCCATGCTTAGACAAAAACAAAACAAAAAAGTAACTAGATAATTACTTTTATCAGATAATTGTCTGAGGGTCATAAGATTCTTTGAGTTCCCAACTCTGAGAGTGAAGAAAGTGCTCTGACCTTGCAGCTGGGAACTGGAGCTTTATTCCACCTCCCCTGTCCCGACACAGCCTCCATGGAAAAACTGTACAGGCTGTGCTCCAAGTCTAGTGAAGGAAAACTAGAAAAGGGTAGGGAGGGGATTTGGGGAAGGCAGGGAGACAAGAAGACTGTAGCACCCAGGACACAAATAATCTTGAAGACACTTCAGGCCCATCTATGCTCCCGCCAAAACACCCCAGCTGAATGGCCCAAAGCAGCTGTCTAGAGCAGGAGGAGTGGGGAGGTGAAGATGATCTCCTCTGCTCCTCCCACACTGCTTTGGATGTCCAAAGGCCTCCAAGTTTGGAGCTTAGAACACTTGCCATCTTTCCTAATCCCCCACATTCTGTTTCATTGGTTTTTGTACCAAATATAAATAAGCAAGTAGAGAAAAGTCGTACAGCTCCCAGCTTTCCCCAGCATGGGGAACACTGGTAGTTGTAGAACTTTTATCTGTCTAGATGTGAATAGGATAAAGCCCCTTAATTAATATCAACTTCTTGCAGAAGTATTGTTCCCCACCTTTGAATTTCCACATTTTGTGTTACAACAATTCGCATTGTTATTCCTTGATGCACACAAGATACTTGAAACTGTGAAGGTGCAAATAGTTTTATTGTGGCACAAAAGATATTTGAGTTATTGCATAACTATTCACTCTTTCCAAGAACACCTTTGGCAGCGAGTATAGCTGTGAGTCTTCTTGGGTAACTTTCTATCAGCTTTGCACATTGGACTCCTGCAATGTTTGCCTTTTCTTCAAGGCAAAACTTCTTCCTGGCCCTGTCAGGTTGGATGGAGACTGCTGGTGAACAGCAATTTCTAAGTCTTGCTGCACACTCTCAGATTGGTTGAGGTCTGGGCTTTGACTGGACCATTTTAAGAGATTCAGATTCTTGTTTTTAAACCACTCCATGGTTCTCCTGTCTGTGTGTTTAGGATTATTGACCTGCTGAAAAGTGAACTTCTGCTGGAGTCCCAGGTCCCTAAAGATTGAAAGATTTTCCTCTAGAATTATCCTGCTGTTCAAATAAGTTGCTCTTATTTGCATCAAAGCCCGTTAGGCAGTTTACAGTTCCAGAAAACCTATTGGGAAGTACTTGCTCTATTTAAGAAACTAAATATTTGGACCTGCTATTGACTTCTAATTGAATTGTGGTGCTGGAGGAGACTCCTGCGAGTCTCTTGGACTGCAAGGCTATCAAACCAGTCAGTCCTAGAGGAGATCAACCCTGACTGCTCTTTAGAAGGCCAGATACTGAAGATAAAACTCAAATACTTTGACCACCCAGTGAGAAGGAAGGACTCCCTGGAGGAGAGCCTAATGTTGGGAACAATTGAGTGCAAAAGTAGAAGAAGATGGCAGAGAATGAGGTGGCTGGATGGAGTCACTGAAGCAGTTGGTGTGAGCTTGAGTGGACTCCGGGGGATGGTGGAGGACAGGAAGGCCTGGAGGAATGTTGTCCATGGGGTCGCGATGGGTCGGAGATGACTTCGGGACTAACAACAACAATTGATTTCCATGTGTCTGCTACTGCCTTAATTTGTATCATTTTGGCTGATTAACATGTTCATTGATAGTGGGTTTGCAAATGTGGGAATTGGCCTTGTTTCTGCATATAAAAAAAAGAATCTGTTTGAAGAGCTAATACATGTATCTTGCCTAGGATCAGATCAGATATGGGCGTGATCAGAGTGAGACATGTATCGATACCCTTGATATTCTTTATACTTTCCAAATATGAAGATATGAGAGTGTCTTTTGTGCCCTGACCAGGAAGAGTGCTGCATTTGAATCTGTTGTGAGACATGAGGTTAAATTGTCCTTTTTTTCCTTTGTGTTGTTTTACTTTCCTCTTTTTTTAATTTTAGTGGCATTTGGTTAGTGGCTTTGTTATCTACCTGTTTCAAGTTTCTGCCCTTCTTACTTCATTCTTACATTTGAAAGTTTAACTTTTAAAATACATTGTAGTTCATAGTTCATCAGTTAAATGATACCAAGGCAATGTGAAAAAACAGCCTATACTAACATGCACTTTCAGAATGGAAATAGAGCTTAAAATACTTAACGCCGTTAGCCAAAATTTGTCTGTTTAAAAACATTTTAAAATCAACATTCCTCTCTCAGATTTTTACACAGCTGTAAACCACAACTGGATTCAGAAAGCTCAAGAAATAAGGAATCTAACAACTCTTTCTGTGGCGGGAGGATTTCGAGATTATCAAGTTCGTTCAGGATTGGCTTTTCTGCCAAAATTGGATCATCAAAGCAGTGCCTTATCTGTTGTGGTAAAATTAATACCTTTTATTTTAAATTGTTTCTTTTATGTATACAAATTGTATGGGTTAGTGATTCCGTAAGCCTGAGGCTATTGTATACTCTCTCAAAATTTTTAAATAGTTTTGAGTGTTGTTTTGACCGTTATTATAAGTGGAATGATTAATGCTAAATTCTAGACTGAGATGCCAATCCTAGTGGAAGCAGCAACATTGATTATCAAATGTTTGTAGAGATCCTTTAATCTTGTTAGATTGGAAGCATCATGTGTGATCTTGGTTGTGTCCAGTGTTTAAAATAGCTTTTCCGAAGAAGCTATTGAATGGGTTGGAGGAAGTTTACAAATCCTACAGGGCATTGCTAAGCTCTGGGGCTTGCTTAAATCAGTTCTTTCAATTCTGTCAGACTGCAATTCTGTGTACAATTAAAGTCAATGGCAGGGGTCCAAGAGAATGTACAATTTCATGTACCCACTGCCACTTGTAAGCTCGTATTTTTCAGTCAGCAGCTTTCCATGTTACGTGGCAAACCAATTTTGAAAAGGAGTGAATGTTTTAAAGCAGTATGTGACATAGTATATTGGATTGCTGTTCAACTAATAAAAATAATTTCTTCAAACAGAGTTCAGCAGTTCCTCGAGTGTGGGCTTCAACAGACCATCTCTCTGTAGTTTGGTAAACACCTATGATTGGCATACTCTTATTCTGATACTTTCCTTTTGTTGCCTGATTTCACTCTATCTGGATTTTTACAAGTAGTCCTTTCCTTTGTAGGTGTAAAGAACTGATCCTGGCTACTGTCAGAGCATTTTTAGACCTTATTGATGAAAACACTAAACAGGTTTGTCTTTTTGAGATTTAAACATGTTCCTTGGAAAGTGTGTGTGTGTGAGTGTGTGTGTGTAATATCCTTTATATAAAAGTTAAAGGATAACTTTAAGTGAGATTTGCCAAAGATTAACTTTTTAGTATGCTTCATTAATATAGCTGCCATTACTAATAAATGCTGTGTGAATCCTTAGATAACAGAAGATCCACATAAGAGAATGCTTATCTTGAATCACCACTTTCTGAGGCATCCAGCAAAATTATTTGAAGATATTTCTGAATCAGTTATTGAACTAACAGGTTAGTATGGAGGTGTTTTCCTGAAATGGCAGCAGACTGTACATTGATTAACCCACAGTTTGCCAAGGTATGTAGCTTTTTTAGTATTCAATCACCAATTGGGGGTTGCTATATAAAGTCTAAACCTGTAAGCTATAGGCAATCAATCTGCGGTTAAGCTAACAGCTGCTTGCAGATTAACCATGGGTTGTTTAGCTCATGATTAGCATACATTGTTTGGGTTCAGTTTTCACAAATCAACCTCTGACTGGGGGGTGAATATTCAAAATGGCTGCCACACATGATTTAGGGTTAATTAACATACAATTTTTCACAGTTACATGTAAACCAGGTCTGTATCTTTTTATATTTGACTACTTCCTCAAAGATCAAAATTGATAGTTAATCCTTGTAAACTGGATTTGATGCAGTTACATGCATTTACTTATACCATCTGTATTGTTGCAATGGACATTGCATGGGATTTCTTTCCTATTTTACAAAACTCTTGAACTAGTTCAAATTCGGGGATAATTCACATTGCTTAGGCTTTTATATGCAGTCATGTGCCAAATCACATGGATAAAGAACTGTTGTAGAATACTGGCTGAAAGACTTGAGCTATCTATCAGAAGACCCAGTTCAAATCTTGCTCTGCCATATACTTACTAGATGACCTTAATCAAGCCACTTCTTCAGCCTCAGCACCACATCGTCAGTTTTGGGATAATATTCAGAACTACCTTAGGAGGTAAGGAGACTTGGAATAGTATTCTGACATGAGCCAGACTGTACAGCTGATAAGTCAGCAAACAAGCTTGCAACTGCGACTGCATGTTTTCTCTTGGCATAAGAACAACAATGGCTGGCATACCATCACAGCTAAGCTCTTGCTATATGTTTGACTTGTCAGATTTCTTGAACAACCCTTTCTCCATTTGGTTCTATATCAGTACATGTAGATACACACTGGAGAGCCAGTGTGGCATAGTGGTTAAGAGCATGGAGTAGGATTCACACGATCTGGGTGCTAGTCACTGCTCAGCCTGGAGCCTCCTGTGGAGCCAGTCACAGACATTCAGCCCACCCTACCTCACAGGGTTCTTGTTGTGGGGATAAGATTGAGAGGAGGAGGAAGAGTATGGTATAAATTGCTTTGAATTTTTTTAAAAGAAGGAGGCAGGCTATAAACCTGATAAATAAATGCTTATTTGTGAAGGACTTAGTAAAGTCAACCAGCATGTAGTGAGTTAGGTGGGTTGTTGCTGGAACATCCTGCACTGTGTTGGACAGATGGTGTGGTCTTTGATCCTCCACCTGATATCTCAGGGAATTGGTGACTAAAATTGTCTCCTCCTCTTCCCACTGTGATTGTGAGCTCTTTTGTGTTGACTGAGGTTCCTTCTTCTCCATTTTCTCCTGAAGATTGCTTTTGCAGTCTCTGAGATGCCAGACCCTTCAAAGTGCTCAAGTGGAACATTGGAGGGTTCACCAATGTTACCTGCTGGCAAAACCCTTTACTGTTCCCCATTGGGATTGTTTACAATCTGTGAAGTAAATCAAAGAAAAATGCAGCAAGTACCAACCATGGACATTTATATATTTATATCCCACCTTTCTTTCCCCTCCAACCTCAGTCCAACCCCCAGACCTGTTTAGCTTCAACATGGTGGATGCCTTAGGTGCTTTCAAACCATAGAAGCTGCAAACAGGCATATTTCTTTTTACTCTGTGCTCTCTTGACAGCTGTCAAACAGTGAGCTATCAAGGGAAAGCATAAAAGGAATCTTCAGTCATGTAAAGGAGGGTGGAGATCCCCCCTGCAATCACAGTGAGAACTTCAGGGTTTTAGTTTTCTTCCTGTGGTTCTCCGTGACCTACTTTTTCCACCATTTCCCAAGATTAGGGGAAAAGTATATTCCACTCCATTTTTGCATTTTGCCTTTTAAGGCAGGTATTTAGGCAGGGCTAGGGAGGGTAGTTTGTACAGGAAAATATGCAGGAGATATGTATAGGCAAGCTGTACCTCTGCTACATGAAGGCCTGAGAAGGGTGTTTTTGACAAGGTTTTAAGGAATGACTTATATCCTGTAAAATAAAATAATGCTCATTTTTTGTTTTTATTTTTGTTATGATTGTTATTTATTCCAATTTTTGTTTGCATAAATGCAAGTATATTCAACAAAAACTTACAGTAATAATGTGCCAGAAAGGGAAAAGGAATTTTATTCTTCAATAACCTGAATGCTGCTTGTTTTCAGGATCCTTAACTTGGATCCAGATAAAAGCTCCAAAATGGTCTTATACAGTACACAATGTAAGTATTATTGTTGTTGTTCTTTTAAATTGACTTCTTTACTATATTACATAGGAGGCTGTCTTATATATAGCAAATCAGGTTCTCCATAGGGGTTTTGCCCAGCCCTACTTTAAGATAGAGAGTAGAACCTGAGGCTTCCTGCATGCAAAGCACATGCTCTCCATTGCATTGTGACCTCTCCACAAATAGGGTTTCTAGAATTGAAGTGGAACTTGAACCCATGTCACTCTTACTCTAATTTAGCACTCAAACGACTATGGTTTCTAATATGCACATGTTTGTATTTTAATGAACAGGAATCGGATGGCAAATACTTTACTTTTCCTCTGTCAAGTCACAGGAAATCCTACAGTCACGTCTACTGTCAAAGCAGTATGTTGGTGAGAAAAGGATTTCCTTGCAAACATACCTTTGTATGCTTGGCTTTTCATGCATTTCTGTTGAGAAAATAAGATTAAGCACTTTTACCACTTCTCTCCCCATCCTCATCCTGCTATGATGTTTAATATGAAAGGTCACTCACTGTGATGTCGCAATATTGGGACTATCATGTAGAGAGTTGGTGCACGCTCTTTAGCAGCTGCCAGTGATATGGAGCAAGGGTGTGGGAAAAGTAACTACATGATGGCCTCATTGATATAGCTTGATGTTTTGGTTTAGTGTAGAAAATTTTAAAGTGGAATCAGTCCCATGTGGTTTGTGTTCATTTTCCCTCCCTTGCCCTCTCATATCTTGTGGCGATATATTTCATGTTTAATTATGCTTTGCGTATTAAGAAATGCTTCTGTTTTATTGTCTTGGACTGCTTGCTGGTCAATTTCATTGGATGACTCCCCAGTTTTTATTGTATTCAATTGAATAAAAGCCATATTCCACCTTTCCCACATGTTCAGAGCTGCTTCCAACAACTTAAATAAAACTGCCAATGTCATACTGCTTTTATACAACTCTGGTGGGACTGCAGTTTGGATGCTTTGTCCATTGCTGGTCACTGGATCTAAGACAGGATATTGTAGAGTTGGAAGAAGTGCAGAAAAGGGCAACTAAAATGATGAAGAGGTTGGAGCAATTCCACTATGAGGAATGGTTACAACAGCTGAGATTGTTTAGCTTAGAAAAAAGGCTAGTAAGGGGAGATATGATAAACATGTAGAGAGTTATGTGTAGTAATATGAAAGCAGGGGTAAGGGACATTCCTTTCCCCCTCATAATAGTAGTACCTGGAGTCATTTCATGAAGCTGATTTGTGGAATGTTTAGAAAGAAGTACTTCTTCACACAGCACATAGTCAAATTTTGGAATTCACTTCCATGAGATACAGGATGGCCACCAATTTGGACAGGTTGGGCAATTTCATAGAGGAGAAGGCTATCAATGATCCAGATGGCTCTGTGCTACCTCTAGTATTAGAAGTAGTATGGCTGTGCATACCAGTTGCTAGGGAACATGGGTGGGAGGTTGCTGTTGCACTTATAACCTGCTTGTGTGTATCATGTGGATAGCCAGTCAGCCACTCTGTGAACAGGATGCTGGTCTAGAGGGATCCTGGGTCTCTTTTGGCAGAGCCCTTCTTATGTTCTTTCTCTTCACAGAGGATCAAGCCTGAATCCGTTCCTTGGTTTGTAGCTGCAAGGATTTAATAGATTATGATTGGACAGCAGGGTCTAACCAAAATATAATTTCCACCACTGCCTCAGGCAGGCAGTTACAAATTCCATTTATAAATGTTGCTTATTTTTATGCAACAGTGAGAATAAATATATATTATATATATGGCACATTTACATGCATTTTCTCTCCCTTACCTATGTAACAGGACACAAATAGTTGGATCTATGGCTGTATAAATGGTACCTCCTCTATGTGGTAAGTATATTTTATATTTCATAAAAATCGCTTATGAGGAACAAGGTTGAAAGCATTATATTTAATGCTCTTGAAATACGAGGTAAAATTATCTCTCTGTGTTTTAACCTAGTCATGCTTTAGGCATTTGTGTATTCATTTTAATGTTCAATTTTTCTGGCCCCTGCAGTCTGTAGTTTCATAGTAGGAGTTCAGAGCACCCTTAAAGCTGCCTTAATCCACTTCTTGGATTAAGAGAATCCCTATAATGCTAGGGTTAACTGTGTATTTGGCCTTAAAGAGTGGGATCCTCCTAATACTGCTGGATTTGGAATAAGTTCAAAAATAGCTTAAGCATCCTGTAATTATATATAAATATAGATGAAAAAGGAAACACCATGTTCAATACCTTGTGCGGAGTTTTCATATGGGTTAGTATGGTTTCAAAGCTTGATATGTCATTTCCAATACTCAAGATGGCCCCTATCCAATTGAAGGGGTTTTCCTGTTTGTCTTTATATGACTTTATATGCCAACATTGCTATATTTTCCTTAGCCACTGCTCTATTGCAGGATTGTCTAGCTGGTTCCAGTAAGTTCAAGTAACCATAGCAAGTAACATGTTAAGAAAAAGGTGGTTCTCAGGGGCAGGAGATTGCGTCACTGTGGGCCGCCTGAAGCACTTGACTGCAGCAGTGCTCCATAGTGCTTTGCAATACCAGGCCTAGTAGTGTGTTTAATATTAAGTATGGTTTATTGCAAGCCAGTTTAATAAACTGCAGGGCATCCATGTTCAGGTGTCATTATGTGCCATGGCTAAGTTTAAATACAATCAAATCTTCTATGATTTGAACCTGGGTTTTAGCAGCTAATCCTGTACACTAATTGCTGTAGTATACTGGTTGCAAGTATCAGTAGTAATGATGATAGAATTGTTTTCATAATATGTTCACTGTTCAAAATATTAAAAAGGGATCCTTTTGTATGGTACATAGTGATAATGCCTACTATATCAGGTGTTCCAGTAAAATGAATGAACATTGTCTGACATATTTGAGTGCAGAATCTCTAATATTTTCACCTTGATATAACATTCACAGTGTGCAAGCAATTGACTTGACTTGGCAAGCTGAATTACTGCCAACAGTTAAGGTAAAATTATCAATAAACTTTTATTTATTCTCTAAAATAAAAACAAAAAATTAATAAAATTGTTCAGTGTAGTGCAGCCAAGTGCACCAAATATAATTGAGAGAATTGCTACAAGCTACTTAGAAGGCTTAACTATAACATTTAGTTACATTTTTAAAGACCTCTTTTCTGATTTCTGAAGTTTCTCATAAAATGTTGCTCCTCTGTGTTGTTTTTAGACTGTAACTCTGAAACTGGAAGACTATCCTTCTTTGACTTACCTTGTACTGCATGTACCAGCTGTCAGTAGTAATAAGGTAAAAAGATGAGATACCAGGTTTTACTTGTATCCAAGAAAAGACATTTGAGTACTGTTCACTAAATTGGTGTATTACAGCTTGTGTCAAAGGACAATTGTTACAACTAGAGAGAAGAGCTGCTATTTTTTGTTCACCAATGTTCTAAGTCTGTAGAAATGACTTTTAGTTCCAAATAATATGTTTGAGGAGGCAAGGAGTCTACGTATTGGTGGTAAAATGGCAGCAGTTAGTTTTCAGATCTGCTATTTGCTGAATATCTGTGCTTGACACAGAAGTGCCTGCTATTGTTATTTGAGTTTGCAATCTTCTGTAAAAGAAACTTGATTAGAAGTCATACTTGCTCTAGTCTGCTTAATGAATCATCTGTTGAACCCGTGTCTCTTTTTCCTAAATTAGAAACTGTGCTTCCTATCACCAGTTCCTGAAAATTAAATAATGTGGGCCACTCCTAGTAATTTGGAGTAAGTCTGAGAAAAATTACTTTGTATTTGTTGCAGTTTACTTTGGATTGTGAATTCTTTAATGAAACATCAAGAACACTGCAACTTCCTGTGACCCAGCTTTTTACTTTTGGTAGGTTTAATTCATTGCATTTAACAAATGTAAAGTACTTGTTTGTATGCATTTAAATATCTTTCCACATTATGGCTATATTTTATTTATATATTACATTTCTATAAAAAGTTGTCTGGGCAGTTAAGCTATCACTTACCTAACAGTGAGTCCTATTGAAGTCAATGGCTGTACACCAAAGAATGGCAGGAGTTAATAAGTCCTGTTTCTGAAGTAGCTTGAGACATGGGGAAGAGTTGAAAAGGTAGAGGGCATTGGGATCTGTCAGTTCAACAGCTGAAAGCCAAAGAATCTCATCAACAATAGGAAGATAACATTCCCCTACCCTTTTGATGCACCTTTTTTGGCTGCTTCCCCACTTTATTGCTGCTTTTCATTTGACAGCTGGGTAATTGGACCCTAGCAACTATGTGCAAATTTCCAATATGCAAATTCCCCTTGACAGTTTCCATTAGTGTTGCCTACTCTACTTCACCCTCACTTTTGACAGCTGAAGCAGACAAGGAAGTCAACCAGGCAAGACTATTCATATTGGATAGTCCTAAGTATGTGCCTGCAAAAGACTAGCAAAAATAAAATAAAATTGTGCCTTTTTTTTTTTTTTGCAGGGGGTAATTTTAAAAGGGTGGGCAAACCAGTGACAGTGGCTGCAGAGTGCTACTTGGATATTAATAAAGGGGCTGTCTCTGGTGGCAGCAGCAGTAAGATCACAAAGAACAGCAAAGGTTCCACTGCTCTTGCCTGATGGCTCAGTGGCCAATCCCTGCAACCCAAGATGAAATGGCATTCCAGGTTTGGATGATGACAACCTATTGCTGCCCTCAAACAAGCCATTGTGTGGGAAGCAGTCCACATTCAGATGACATGACAACTTCACTGTGACTAATTACTCCTTATGGGTTGTTATATTGTCCAGACCAGGTCAGTGGGGCTTATTTCTGAGTGCGCTTATTTCTGGATAGACTTACGTAGGACTGTGCTGTAGCACAGCAGTGCTTCCAATGTAAAACATAAATCCTCTAACAGAAATATTTTGAGACTTTAAATACAATTTTCCCCTTGTGATTGTTGCTCTAAATTTTACTAATTAATTCTAACCCAAGGCAATAATTTCTGCAGGGCTTTCTTCAAGCAAAATCGTATTAAATTCTACTGGCCTTATTCACAATGTTCAGCTTCAACATTTTGGTCAGGTATAATACTGATTTCTGAAGTACATATGTTTTTATGTTTTAGTAAACCCAATGTGAATTAGTTATTTGGGGGAATACTAGTAAATAGATGTATTGTATTGTTTTGTTTAGATATATCAAGCTTTTAAGATCTTTATAGAGAGCCGCTGCCAATCACTCAAAGGTAAATTTATTTTCTAAAATCACTTTGAAGCCAGTGCAGAAAAATAACTCCTATGCATGCATCCCATTACTCACACATTCTATTTTATAATATTATTTCTGCATTCAATTTTGAGGTCCTTTGCCTGATTCAGTACAAAATTAAGCTCCTTAGATATTATTCAATTGACTCTATAGAATTTGTTTATCTTTTGTTTATTGACGTAGGGTGTTGACAGTAGACTTTTGCCTGATCTCCTAAAACCTACTGATTCAATTGTAATACACATCTAATTTTAAGGATAATCTTCCTTTCCTCAACCTCTAAATTAATAAGCTTTCATTTTTGTTTGGTTTTCCTAAATTTCATTTTCAGTAGATCCATACACAGTTGTTCTTTTTTAAAAGTGTAGTACAATGCACTTTGTAACTCAGCACAGCTTGTATACTAGACTGAAGTGTGATTTCATACTACAGTAACTGCTTGGAGGCATTTGTTACCAGTGCCAGGTCTGACTACTTCAGAACCAGCTGCAGCTGGCATACCAGTCTCAACTAGCTAAAGGCACTCTTGGCCACAGCTGCTATCAGCTCATCCTAGTGAAAAGTAGAGTCTAGGAGCACCCCTTCCCCAAACTGAATTCTGTTGTTCATGGAGAGTGCTATATTATTTAAAATTTCTTGAAATTTATGCCAGTGTATGTCTGCTTAGTGACCAATAGTACCTCTGTTTTGTCTGGGTTAAACCTGCATTATTAGCAACTGAAAGCAAATCTTGAGAAAGCTACTCTGGTTGTCTTTGATTTGCTCTGCCCATGAATAAAGGGAAAAGAATGTATTGGACTGGCTTGCACATCGCAGCAGCAATTACTGGGTTGTTTAAAACAGGAATTGCAGGGAGAAGTGGAGCATGCAAACTGTGCACTCATAATTTCTGCTTTGAATTAACATCCCCTGTGTTGTTTTGTGACATGTGAACCCAGAAAATGCTGGATTGTTTAGGGGTTAAACAACCCAGAGTTAACTTACTAACAAACCATAGGCAATTCATCACAGGAACAACTTTTCTTCAAATGAATCTGATCTTTTGGTTATACCGAAGGCAAACATACTATTAATACAAAACTCAATTCCTCTTCTGGTCCATAATTTTATTTTCCTTAATCCCTTATGTTTTTGGTATTTTATGGGCATCAGGATTAGGATGACATTTTTGCAAGAAAAATAAGAAACATGGGATTTTGTTTCCAACCAACAGAGTTAAAAGGGGGAAAAGACAATTCCAATGTAAATGTTTCTGAGATGTGATCATTTATACAGGACTACCAGAAAATTAACTCTAGTTCATTCACTGGTGTGGGATGAGTTTTTCTATTTAGGGGTTTTATCTGTGGAGCACCTGATGTGGCTTCATGATACATTCTCGTAAGCCAGATAGTGCTGAGCTTGACTCTATCCTGGGCTAAAATCTATTTTGGTCATTGAGGTTTGTGTATATTTATCCCTGGGTGGATGTAGGGAATTAAATGTGTCATACCTGTTCCATGTCCACCAGGGTAAGTAAGGTGCCTAAATTTGCTGTCCTAATCTTCTTATATTTCAGAAGACTGCTTTCAGTTCAGATGTATCAGATAACATGTGTATGCACATGTGCTTTCACATTCTGTTTAACAGATAATAAAATAACATTCAGCTTAATACAGAAGTTAGGAAACATGGTGATATGGATACCATATAAATCACCTTCTACTCAAAAAGATATAAATTTCACTGTGGTGATTACCAGTTCGCTATTCCGCAAGCTTTAATGTAAAGCTAGATTGCTTTTGCAATTCTTTTCCCAATCATGCAAGTTAGAATAAATTACTGAAAAGGCTACACTTTTTTTCTTTACTGTTCGCAGTTAGTACCTTGCTCCCATATTAAAGTCATTATATGATTTGTTGACTGGGAATTTCACTGGATTATCGTGACCAGCAAGGAACAACATCTCCCTATTCCAGCTCTCTAGAGCCTTATCTTATTATGGACTATGCCACACTAGAGACATTCAGAAAGGAACTCGGCACTCATCTGAATGGGATGATATAAATTGGTGTCCTGCAACTGCAGGGGGTTGGACTCAATGGCCTTCTTGGCTCCTTCCAACTCTACTGTTCTATGATTCTATGATTCTTCTACAGAGTCAGTGCCTGTAAGCATGAAGGGGATATAAGCCAATCATTTTTTAAATTTTCCACTTGAATTGGGTGGACACTTTTCTCAAAGTTTCCTTATTTTTTAATTTAATTTAATAAAACATTTTTATCCTGTCTTTTCACTAAACGTCTTAAGACAGCTTACAGAATATAAAATCAGAACAATGAAAATACAATCCATAATATAATAAGTATAATAAATAATGATAAGTACAGTCATTACTAATGGAATACTGTCAAATTAAACCAATAATAAGCAAAAGAGAATACATCACAATCATAAGAAAAATAAATAACAATGGATAAAATAATAAAATAAAATGCAACTGTTAAGTTTAAAAATCTAAAAACTCTAATTCTTAAAATGACGTTTAAATAAAAAGGTTTTAACCTGGTGCTGAAAATAATATAGGCTCAGTGCCAGGCCTATATTTTTAGGCCACTGATTTATTTATAGGGGCTACATGCAGAATTCCACAAGTGGACTGCTGTTCATGCAACGAGGGTTCCCTTTACTAACCTCCCCTTTGCATGTCCCCCTCCAACCTACTGGAACAAATTTTGGAATGTGCAGTTGGAGGGAGATGCCCTTCTGGATGCACTTTTAATTCTGCTGGTGGACAGCTCACATTGGGCACAACCCTATGTTTTTAGGCTACCTTTTAAGAGTGGCTTGCCCAGTTTAGTGTCCAACACTTGTTTTGAACTTCAACTCTTATCAGCCCTATCCAGCATGACCAGTGGTCAGGAATGCTGGGCTTCTAAACAATTGGAGGCTATCATATTGGTTTATAGCAATGTAAAATGCAACCTTTCAGTTTGTTGTTACTGATAAAAATAATACAATTCTATCAGATTCTTAGTGGTTAACCTGAAATATGTTTTAGGGTATAGCCCTTAAAAGATAAGTTTGTATAAAATATAGAAAGAATAACAGTGAAACATCCTGCAACAATGATAAAAAGGCAGCATAAAATTGATAGGCAAAAATTATTCCGTGAAGACTTCTACCTACAATATTTTTACCACACTTTCAGACCAGCAGCACCAAAAAACAAACAAAACTAAAACAAAAGGGGGCCATATGTACATCAGTTAGAAGGGATTTCACAGTTGAAGATGAAGAGGTTACTGAGAAGGCTTTTGTCTCTTGCTTGCCAACCTAATTGATCTTACAGTGAAATTGTGAGCAAAGCTTTGGAGCTGACGTTAAGTCTGGGCAAATTCATGCAGGTAAAGTTGGTACTTCAGATAACCTCATCCCAAATATTTAGAATTTATTGGTTCATTTACTTGTGCTTTTTATTCATAATAGTAAGTTCCAGAATTAGAATTAAATTTGGGAATGCTTGAAATACAAATTATACATACTTTTCACTCTGATTATCCCCAGGATTTATGCTTTGATGATCTGTCGAATACTCACACTGTTATGCACCATTATATGTTCACGCTTAACATCCCAGTATGCAACCATATTTTTCCAATTTTTCTTAATATTACTTTGTCAGCTTATCTTACCTTCAGTTTTATTACATAATGTGTGCATTAATGCCAACCACCTTTGTACTCCTAGTTCATGCATCTGATGAACAGGCTGCTTACAAAGGTCTTCCAGTCCATTACTTCCAGGCACTTTGTCATCTTTCTATAGAGTGAGGTATCTATACTTTCTAGCTGTCATTTGGAATTTTTAGGATTGGAACTCTTAAGGGCAGTATGCAGTGCAACACTACTGCTAATATAAATTACTCTGTGCTATTGTAAACTGCCGCTAGCACAGCATTAATTCTGGTGTGATGTTTTCCCTAGAAAACAAGCAAGTTGACATTACTCTAAAGGAAGTTTATGTTATTTGTGTAATTTATGTTTGTGATAGGGTAGCATTAGATACTGCCCACAAATCTAATGAAGCAAACACAAAAAAACAGTAAAAAGATATAGGGTTCTTATGATTAGTCTATTATAGGATCCAGTTGCAAAACATTCCTTGAACTTGGTTTTCCTGTGTGTTAATTTGTTTATGTTTTGAATAGTTTGATTTTAATAATTGTTGTAACGATTTTTTATGGTAGTGCGACTTCAAACAGCTTAAAAGGATTATATTCCAGTATGCATTTTCATTTGCTTCTTCCAGAAAGAAAACCTAATGTGTACCGACTTCATATACCATGGTCACATGAAGACTCTTTAACTTTGTCTCAGTAAGGATTTTTTCAGTTTTTGGTGTCTTTACAGTGCTAAGAGGTATCATACTGTAAGAGACTTCCATATGCAATGTGAATGCACCATGACAATATGGAAGTGAATGGGGCCACATTCTTTGCAATGCCATTAGAGGATTAAACTCTTCGAAGGCTGAAGATATTTTTGATAGCAGCAAAACATTGAAAAATAGTCCATAGTAAAATCTTCTAATATTGCTTCTTTCCCACAATATTAGAAAGAAATCAATTGCTTATCAGTTCAGTGGAGTTGTTACATGCCATCAAGTCATCTCCAATTTATGGCAACCCTATGAATGAATGCCCTTCAAAATGTCTGTCCTTGACTGCCCCAGTTAGTTCTTGTAAACTCAAGACTGTAACTTCTTTTATAGAATTGACCCACCTCATATTTGGTCTTCCTCCTCTCCTTTTCCTGCCTTTTCTCTTACTGTATTCTCCAGTGAGTTTTGCCTTTTTGTGGTGTACCCAAATAGTGATAGCCTTAGTTACACCATGTTTACTTTCAGGGCAAGTTCTAGCATGACTTGACCTAGGACCCATGTGTCTGTCTTTCTGTCAGTCCAGTGTATTTACAAAACTATCCTTCTGCATCATGTTACAAACCTGTTTTTTCCAGACAGCTTTCTTCCTTAGACAACTTTCACTCCCATACATAGTGACCAGGAATGCAGTAGTGTGGACGATTTTGCCCTTGGTCTCCAGTGAAACATTGTTATACTTGATTATCTTTTCTAGTTCATTCAGTGCTGTCCTTGCAAGCCTATTGTTATCTAATTTTTGTCCACAATTTCCATTTGACTTGATAATTCAGCCAAGATATGCAAAATTGTGATTTTGACAATAATTTTCCTTATTGTTGACATTCAAGTTAACATTAATGTCATTTCCTTCATTGTTGACATAAAAGTTGTGTAATTATTCAGTAATCATGTTTTATGTTTTCTTAATATTTGGTTGCAGTCCTGCTTTGTAATTTCTTTCACTTTCATCAGGAGGTGTTATAATTGTGGACTGCTTTCTGCGTATCTTAATTTGTTGATCTGTCTTCTGCCAATTTTCAGTTCCCTTTTTGATTTTAATCCAGCATTCCTTTTATGTTTTGCATACAGATTGAATACATAGGGGAATAAATATACCCTTATCTGACATCTTTGCCTACAGTTGCTCTCCAGGAGCCAATATATATTTGTAATATAATCTGTAGCGCCTCTTCCTTTTTGGAATCTACTCTGAATGTCAGGCATTGCTTGCTCCATATAGGATAAAATTCTTTGCAACTTTGAGCTTCACTTGGCTTGCATGGGAAATTAGTGTATTGATCCTCTGGTTGCTGCACTCCTTTGCAACTCCTTTTTTGGAGATTGCAATGTATATTAAACACTTCTAGTCTGTGGGCCATTGTTTTGTTCTCCATATTTGTTGGCATATTCTTGATAGGATTTTGGACTGATTCAGTGTCTGTAGTTTGGAATAGTTCTGTAGGTACCCTATTGACCACAGTGTTTTATTCCTTCAAAGCACTTTCAGAGCAGCTTTTACTTCTCTTTCTAACATTGCAGGTGGTTCTTCATAGGATCCTCTTTGAAGGAGTCTGTCATCTTTTTTTCTCTTTTGTATAGCATTTCCATATATTGGTTTCACCTTTTTATTTTATGCTGGTCAGTATGTTTAGCCATTGGTCTTTCAACATTCTTAATATAGGTTTGAATTTTCCTTTGGTTTCTTTGATCGTCCAGAAGAGGTCTCTTGTTTTTTTCCTTTTTTTTTTTTTTTTTTGCTCTCTTCTATTTTTTGCACTGGTTATTGCAATACATCTTTTTATCACTATGTGATAGTTGCTTAAAAGTCACATTTAGGATTCTGACCCTATTTCTGTCACCTTCTGTTTTTGCTTCTCATCTGTCCTTTGCAATTGTCTTTTCTTCTGTCATCCATCTAGGCTTTTTCTTTCCTTTTGCTCCAGGAATTGTCATTTGATGGTGTTCCCTAATAATGGCTCTTTTTTCTAGAAAACAGCTCTAGGTATCATCAGTTGAACTCAATCATGCAAATGTGTTCTTTATGAGGACTTTAAAGTTTTTAGGAATGTTATTTTGGCACTATGCTTCTGTTAGTGGTCTTTTTCGGCATTCCTCTGATTTTTGATTTTTTAAATGTTTTAAATTATTTTTTCAATCTAAAATTCTGCCAAACAAAACTTACAACTAAAACAAAAAATATAAAATTAACCATACAAGTAAGATAAATCTAAAAAATACTGTGTGCCCCATGTTCTTCTAACAATATCTTATAAATTTTACATACTATCCCTTTCATACTCATATTCTCTTGTTTTTCCTTTTCTATAATCATATCGAGTTTAGTGTAATTCCTGCATCTACCTCTTTGATTTATCCATTCTCTAGTCCAACATTTTATTTGAATCACATTATACCAAATTATTTTTTCATTTCCTAGTATTGCTTTTATCTCCCCATTTTTATTCATTTTCTTTAGCCAATCTTTTAATCCAATTCTTTGTTTTTTCTTTATTTTTTTCCCATGGGGGACGGCATACAAAAGCTATAAATAAGCAAGTAAGTAAGTAAGTAAGTAAAATCTCTTTCAAATGTAATGGGAACCTTCTAATTCAGTAATTGGACATAATGGCAAAATTGATGGCATAAACTTTCCCTTATACTTATTCCAAATTTGTAACATATTTGAAAAAAAGAGCTGTCAGCTTCTAGCTGAAAAAATTCTACCTTTTGACCTTTTCACGGTCTTCTCTTAGCTCTCTAATGCCTGACTCAAGCATTTTCCTAAGGCCTTTCATTTCCAATTCCATCTCCCTCTTTCCTTGGACTCCTCCTAATATTCTTCCCTACAATTCTGAAGAAACAATTCTAGTTAAAGACAGATCTAATGACTTTCTGATTTCTTGCTTTGGATTTCTTTGTGACCTAGCCACCTAGGAAGGCCTTGGCAGTTATAGGCGGCCTATAAATACACAAAGAAGCAAACAAACAGTCTAGTACGGGGAGCTCTTTAAACATACTCTTCCAGTCTTAACATGTCACAATCAGCTTTCCTTCCCCTGCTTTTTTTGTCTGTGAAAATTCTCCATAACTCATAAGTTGTTAACTATTCATCTTTACAATCTTCTTTGATATTCAGTTCAAATTAGGCAAAACTATTGCAGGTTACAAATGTTTAGCCTTAAAACAAACTTTTAGAACCCTTTATCACAGCCTTTCCTCCTGGGCTGGGACAAATCAAGATTTTGTAAATACTGCTTTCTTATCTCTAGCTTCACTTAAAGCTGAATCATTTCCTTTAACTTATCTGAGAATCAGGATGTTTACACAGCTCATAAATCTTCACAAGGCATTGGAGTGGCACATTTAAGGTGTGATCCATGCAATTACCAGAATGCACCCCTCCCTCTGATTTTTGATGTTAAGAGTTCAAGGTCACTACTGCAATCTGCTCCTTGTTTTGTTTTGGCAGCAAGAATACAGATTCTCCATCTCTTGTTTCCAAATGCATAATCTGTGAGATTACTGTATTGGCCATCTGGTGATGTCCATGTATATGGTTGGTTACTTGAAGTATGCATTTGTGATAGATAGATGGCTTCTGAGAATTCTATAATTTGCTCTTCTGCTTTGTTTTTACCCCTAGACTACATTCTTTCATAATATTGGATTCTGTTTTGTTTCCTACTGTTGCATTCTAGCCATGTATGTTGGCTGAATAAAGTTGAATGATGTTTATGTTGATAGGTTTTCTCTGAATTCTGATTGTTATGATTCAGTCAGATTTCACATTACAGCCCCTTGCCTCATTATTAGAGCCATTCGTTTTCCTCTGAGTTTGTCATTTCCAAAAGAAAGCACTTTGGTTTTGCCTCCCTGCAAATGCCCCATTCCTGTCCACTTGAGTTTGCCCATACTAAGTATGGCAATGTCTCTTCCATTTCTTGCTTTATGGTTTCTGGTTCCAATTGTATGTGTAGTGCAGCATCAGATTTTCCTTTTGCCTCCGGGCATTTCAACTGCTAGACTTCCTTTTGGCTTTGATAGAGTTGCAGTATTAATGACAGTGTTATTCATATTTGTCTTTTGCTTTTCCCCAGTAGCTAGTTGAGTCCCATCTTCAGGCACTATCTCTTGTTTTATCACAGGGTTTTAAAGGTAACATATATTCAGAAATAGTTTATTATTGCTTTCTTCCGCACAGTACTAATTTGTATTAGCTTGTCCTTTGTCTGTAAAGACAACTGCTAGTGCTGCCCAGTCCTTCAGGAGTTTCCTTCTCCCAACGCCCATTAGAGATGTCTGTCCTCTTCTAATGATGCAACCATTATTTATTAAAAGGGTGGAGGCATCTTAATTTGGTGTCTCTGCTTTGGCCATTATGCCTTGTATGAACCTGCCAGGAGACCAGTCAAGTGAGAAGGACTGGCCTCTGTGGCATTGTTCTCAGCTTTTCTGACATTCTCAGACTGCCTCATGTATGGTACACATCCAAGACAGAGAGTGTACCTTTTTCCCCTCGTGGGATTCTCGTAGACATTCTAGTGGAGGAACATAAGTAGAAGGGCCACATTGCAAATTGAAAGGTATGGAGTGTTTTCAGGGGCAGTTTTCTGATAATGCATATTTCCTCACAAATTCCCAAAGATGTGGGCTTGTAATGATGCCTACCATGTGTATGCCTTCTTAGAATTATTCCAGGGAATTCACTTGAAAGAAATGCACACTGTGGTTAAGTATAGATAGTTTTGTTACTGCTGAAGCCCCATTCATTTCAGTGGGTCTTTTCTACATAGGATTACCCATAATGTTCCAGACCTCTTAATCATGGGCTTATATATTCTTCTTATGTCCCACGTTGACAAACTTTTCCTTTCCTTTTACTGTTATCTTTAGCCAAAATTTCATCACTGAATGTTAGCATTATGTCTGCACTGGTATAATTGGGGGAGCCTATTTTAATCGGAGTTTGGAAGCTAGATTCAATCCTGGTCTCAAACACTGTTCCCTACAGAAACTTTTATTAGTGTCAGTACAAATGCACTGGACAACTTCCAAAAATGCCATCTCTTAATGTCTGATTTAGATACCTTTGTAATTAAATAACAAGTAGGATTTGGAATATAATTTGCAGTGTCTAAACGTGTCTTAATTTGGAATATAAATTACAGTGTCCAGGTGCATGTTGCTGGTCCTCAAACTTTTTCAACAGGGGGCCAGTTTCTCTGAGCAAGTCCAAAATGATCTCTGAGCGAGCAAGCTGCTGTGCACGGCAAGGTGGGCGGCAGCGGGTGCATGCGCGGTGAGGCAGCAGCTTGCTTGCTCAGAGATCATTTTCTCTGAGTGAGTCTAAAACCTCTAAGGCGGGCTGGATAAATGGGCATGGCAGGCCGGATCCGGCCCGCAGGCTATAGTTTGAGGACCCATGCTCAAGTTTGAGGACCATACGCTATTTCACATTGGTAGCAAATACCATGGATTTTAGATTGAATGAGTGTTCATTACAGACTAATATAATGTATTCATAGGGTCCCATCTTCGACTGAGATTTCTGCAAAACTTCACATTGCACAGCCTGAAAATGACACTACTGTTCCACTGTTGACTATTTATTCATCCTCAGATTGTCAATATGAAGTAAGTAAAATCTGTCAAAAAGTTAGATTTCTCCTATTTTCCTTCAAAATAAACGGGTCTATTTCCCATATTGTAGTGAAAGACAGTCAAGTGAACAACTTTTGAAATCGTCCTTGATGGGTTACAATTGGATTTTTTACTTTAACAATGAGTTCAGTGAGCACATTTTAAATTATTTGATTTATTAGAAGAGTTATATGCTTTTCTTCTGCTAGCATTTTCTTACAGTGGCTTACAGAATCATAAAAATGACAGAAATAAAATAGTTATCAATTATAAAACATACATAAAATAACACAGCAGAAGCAACGAAGCTAATTGGGTAGAGCTCTGGAGGACCTGGGCAAATACCTAATGCTGAAAAGACATCAGTATTGGTGCTAGGTGTGTCTTTGGGGTGGGCATTTCACATGTGAAGGATTAAAGATGAGAAGGCCATCCCTTTAGTAATTATCCACCTAAATTCAGAAGGAAGGGGTAGATGGAAAAGCATGTCATGGAAGAATGTGACACTTGGGCAGGCTCCTCTGGAAGTAAAGCAATTGTCAGGTATCGGAATCCCAAACTGGTTAAGGGGCCTGTATGTTAATAACAGCCTTTACGTTGTGCTTGTCTATGGATTGGCACCCAGTGTAGTAATTAAAAAAAAGAACTCTGAGGGTTTCATATGCTCTTCAGAGATAGCCTCACGCACGACGCATTGCTGTACTCTGTTCTGGAATATGGACTGTTATGGCTAAGAAGCCTTCCTATACTGATGGAAGGCTCTTGGTGCAGCAGAAGCCATCTGGGCTTCCACTGAAATTGCTGGATCAATAAGCATGCCCAGACTGCGCACCTGATTTTCTGTTATACTGGGATTTTTTTTTTGAAAATTTTAACTCCATTTTAAAGTTCTAATGTGTTTTAAAGGGGGTTTTATTGTGTGTGTTGAATTAGGTAACTATCAAGACCTCTTTTCTGCAAGTTCTTGGTCAGGTAAGAAAATTCTATTTAACTTAGAAGTTTTCCTAATTGTTCAGAAAGCCTGTGAGCCATGGTGGTGAGAGTTGTTGGATGGGAGACCTGGGAGAACCAAGCTGAGACCTGAAGCTCACCAAATGATTATGAGCCAGTCATGGACTGTCAGCCTGATCTACCTCATAGGGATGTTGTTGTGAATGTAAAATAGAGAGAAGAGGAAAAATCTTGTGAGCAGCCTTGGGTTCCTTGCAATATAACAACAACAACTCCTCTCCACATAAGATTAAGAAACACGTGTTTTGTAACTTACATGCACCTTACTGGATCAATAGTGTAGTGCATGTATGAATCTATAGAAAGTGGTTGAAAATATATCCCTGGCAATACTAGGTGATGCCTTCCAAAAGTGTGGGTGCTACACAAGTCTATCCATTTTGCCAAACCATCCCCATCCACAAAACCTGGTGGGTCAGAAAGTGTAAATTAAAAGACTGTTCATCCAAAGTAGCCATTCCCAATCATGGGACTCCAGAGGATGGTGCCAGACTAGGTTCTATTATCACCAGCCAGTAGCAATAGGAATTGTAGTGCAATAGCTGGGTTTTCAGGTGTGGGAACCTGATTTTAGAAGTTCAGCTTTTGCATGTACTAGAATGTTTCTTGCAATCAAGCAACACCCTCCATGGTTTACATCCATTCACTGCAGCTGAACCCAGTATATCTGTTCAAACTGAAAGTAAGAATTAAAATTCATGCAGACCAGAGAAATGACTTGCTCAGGGCTATAAACTCATTTTAAGTCCCCAAACACCAAGCCACTCTTCTTAACCAGCATTTGATGCCATAGCCCAAGAATATTTTAAGGAAGGCAAAGAAGTTATGTTTCTGCCCATAACCCACCCAAATCAGCCTCACTTTCTGTGACAGGAGTGCAGGTCGAAGTGCATCAACTAGTAAAAGTTTGGTTCTTGAAAAAACTCAGAGACCCCCCCCCCCCAAGTCCCTTCCCCAACCCCTACATGCAGCCCAGGAGGCTACCAAGTAAAGAGTTTGGGAGAGAACTCCCTTTGTTACCTCTAGCCTGTGCTTGGAGATAATGAGGCAATTCCCAGAGGGAGCGGCACCATAAATTCTGCTCACTCAACCAGCACTTGTAGCAGGAGCCCTTGCAAGTTGCCAGTTGAGCATGCCTTAGTTTTGCTTCTCATTCCTCAGGTGGGAACAAGACGCAGCAGTCAAGCTAGCTCTGTACTTGACTGGCACTTCTGAGAGAGGCTTCTGGAGTCCCTTCTCCTCCTCATCGTGGCGTCTGTGCATAACTTATTATGGGTGCTGCGCCTGTGCAGTGTCTGTTGCCGGGAAGATTTAATAGCTTTAACTGTTTTTGGCAGGAACGCCGCGCCCAGATTATATAGAAACATTGCTGTTTTCACATTCGCGCCCTATGGGTTAATTTTGATGTACTTGTTAAGTACATAACTGGTGAAATGTATTGATTAAAAGGATGTGTGGAGACTCTCAGTCCACCCATAAACTCACTGGATATTTTTGGGGAAACTGCTTTTTTGTTGCCTCAATGCTGTAGATGCACCTGAGATTGCATAGGTGTAATGCCTAGGAAAAGGTGCTCTTTTAAGTACCATATTGTTCTCAGTATAAAAATAGGGTGATTTTTAAATGTTCCAGTTCTTTGTAAAACATCTTTGTTTTGTAGGTAATAAGATTCTATGGTGGTGCCCTTCCTGTGTACATTATTTCTAATATCCTTCTTGCCTATGGAAGACAGTTAAGGTCCCTAATTTCAACAGGTAACATTACATGAAAAGATTTTTAAGCACAGGTTTGTTGATCATAATAAAATTAGACAATATTATATAGTACATATCATATGTAGTTATATAATTACCTTGCTATTCCTCTTAAAAATAACATTGAAATCAGTTGCAAGATAACTCTTTAAATAATCAAAGATGAGGCAATTATTAAAAATTAGAATGGAAGTTTTAGTTTGTTGACTCCAGAAGGAATATGTTTTACAATAAAAACTTTACTATGGAGGGTAGAGTTTTTTAAGGTCAAGACTTTACTAAAGCTTGAGAGAGATTGATTTCTTAATCTTCATGGGATTTTTTATCAGTTGTGCAAGCTGAAAAATACTGAAATGCATATTTGTAACTAGCAATCCTTCCTCACAAATATTTAGTCTGTGAGTTTGCATGACATAACAACCCCTCCTGCAAATAAAGCTACACTGTGTGTGTTCAGGCTCATGGTGGGTTGTCCCCCACATCCTTCCCCCTTGATCCTCCCACCATTATCACAGGGGACCTATGACTGAACCTGACTCCTCTCCCTGTTCTGATCATGATCCTATTATAGTCACTGGTGAATACCTGCTTGTCACTTATATGTGGGTTTGGGGTGGGCTAGCTTAGCTTGAGTGCTTTGAGAGATACCACATTGCAGTCATAAAATCCTGTTTAGCCCAGTCAAAAATCTTGGTTAAACACTCCCCACTTAAAAACCTCTTCTTTCAGAAGAAAGTGCTGACAAAAAGAGGGATTGTATTTTTTCTGGACTACCTAAAGACTGGGGAAAAGGTGGAAGAGACTGAGAACTGTCAGAGTTCTACTACAAAACTAGAGGATTACACCCCATTTTTGAGTCAAGATCTTCTCATGGCTTTGCTTTTCTCTTGACCACTGTTAAGTGAAAAGCAAAGTAACACATGAATCTATTTGTAGCCTGGTTGGTGTCCAATGATGTTGCCTCTTGCACTTTGACAGGAGGCACTTACCTGTGCATTGATCAGGCAAGACTTTGTTAGTTGATGCTGTGCAGTTATGCACTCCCACAATTCTATTTCTCCACAAAATAATGAAATGTTTGTACAGATTGTTCACACCTAAAAACATCAAAAAGTGACAAACTGGTGATGAATATTCCAATGTGCCTCTTGAGCACTTTGAATGAGATGTCATAGGGACACCTCATGAAGAGCAATGAAAACAGTGGGGAAGAGGAGGAGGAACAATTGTGACTGCAACTGAAAAGGGGTGGGTAAGGGAGTGGGGAGAGTAAGCCAGTGGCAGTTTCTCCAAAGTGCCCTTAGTGCAGGATCAACCATCAGTGGGACAAGGGGACATGGGTGAACTTAGCAAGAGCAGCATGGGCATTTTGCTGAATAACCTGTTCTCTCCTTCCTTGAACTCACAATGGGGTGAGTCCACTGGGTGTGGATAACACCCCAACCCATCGTGGTCCCACTAAGAGTAAGCCATGGGTTGTCAGGGTGGCTTGTTGCCAAAAATGTGCCACTGTGTGGGATGCGGTCCAGTTTACATGACTTGACAGCCTTGTGGCTAGTTGTCCACAATCTATTGCTGTTGATTATTCTTTTTAAAGCAGGAAGTACTGCATTTCCCCCTAACTAGTAAGTTATTGGGAAATACTTTTTATTATTATATTTTAATTTATTTTAATAACATAAAGTTTCAAGTAAGGAAAAAGAAGGAAAAATAAGAATACAAGTAAAAATACAAAGAAACACCAATGTTTTTTTAAACAAATGTTACATAGAATGTCAAGTATTTAAAAAGAAATCACTGTAAATCAACAATTACTATCATTTCTACTTAAATGTATTTTTAGCACTTAACATTAAGTTAAAATGCACTTCAGAGTCTTCTAATCTCAAACAATTTTCCCAAAAATTCTATTCCTGATTTACCTATATTTTTCCATTGTTACTATCCCCATTAAGATATGTGTGATACAATTTCCACTTATCATTAAATTCTTTTGCTGTTGATTATTCTAGAACTGAATTTAGCTAATATTTTTAGTTTGCTTCCTTAAAGTATCTGTGCTATAGTAATGGAATTGATTGATAAGAATACAGTAATTTCATTAAATTTACATTAAAGGATATTTTTGAATTTCTGAATATTTAGTTTTTATTTTGTTGTGGATAGTTGACTTAAGATTTGTTTTTATTGTTCTAGGCCAGTGCTCAGATTTTGTTCCTGCACTTACTAAAGCAGCCAAACCCTATAAAGTAGAACCCATTGTGAATATTATTAAATTCTTATTGGGGTAAGTTCCTTTCTAATATTGTTTCTTGTGTCCCCCCAGAAATCTGCTTAAAGCAAATAAACTGCCTTTTGTATATAATTCTATAACATGTATCAAATAGTGGTTTTGTTGTTAAAATTAAAATGTCTGGGTTTCTCAGTAATCAAAGCAAACAGCTATAATGTTGTGCATTTTTTCCAGGCTTAACTGGTTCAAAGGAATCTGGAATTTATTATTCTTGCCAGAGCTGGATGTGGTAACACTGAGCAACCAGGACTTGTGCTTTCCGTTTATATCCCTGATTCTCTTTATGTTTGGCACTGGCATAGCCTATTGGGGTGGAATGCTCTTGGATTCATCGATAAGGCTCTCGTCCTTCTTGTACTTAGTTTTGATCAGGTAAAAACCAATATATAAGCTACTAATAAAATGTGAATTTGCGAAAGGATAATTGAGAGGATGAAGGCTAACCTTGAAGGGTTTTTTAGAATCTTGCACATGGTATATAGGCAAGTGTGGCTTCCCTACAGACAAGTTGTACTACCATATGACTTGTTGTTGTTGTTAGTCGCGAAGTCGTGTCCAACCCATTGCGACCCCATGGATAACATTCCTCCAGGCCTTCCTGTCCTCCACCATCCCTCGGAGTCCACTCAAGTTCACACCAACTGCTTCAGTGACTCCATCTAGCCACCTCATTCTCTGCTGTTCCCTTCTTCTTTTGCCATCTATTGTTCCCAGCATTAGGCTCTTCTCCAGGGAGTCCTTCCTTCTCATTAGGTAGCCAAAGTATTTGAGTTTCATCTTCAGTATCTGGCCTTCTAAAGAGCAGTCAGGGTTGATCTCCTCTAGGACTGACCGGTTTGATCGCCTTGCGGTCCAAGGGACTTGCAGGAGTCTCCTCCAGCACCACAATTCAAAGGTTTCAATCCTTTACATTTGAAGGGGGTAATGTATAGTTTGGACATACCATTGTTTGTAATGGTAACCATGGTTTACCAAAAAATATGAAGGGAAAGAATCCCAAAGGGCTGCCCACAAGACCACTACTCAGAGTACATCTCCACAAGCCATAGTTAACTAAGAATAGTGGTTAATATTTATATATTTATTTATTTTTCGATTTATATCCTGTCTTTTTCCTACAAAGGGCTCAAGGCAGCTTACATCATTCTCCTCCTCCATCTTATCCCCACAACAACAAACCTGTGAGGTAGGTTGGGCTGAGAGTCTGTGACTGGCCCAAAGTCACCAAGTTGGCTCCATGGCTGAGCGGGGACTAGAACCCAGATCGTCTGAGTCCCAGTCCCATGCTCTTAACAACTACACCACACTGCCTCTTTGTATATGATATCTAAATTGACAAGTGTGTTTTTTAACTGGCCAGCAAAGAACTGAAATGAATTTACAATTATAGTTATGCCTATTGGTGCACCCCTAACCCCATTGCACCACAGATATGCAAGTGAATTTATCACTTCATGAAGATGTGTCCTGAAACAATGGAAAACAAAAGCAGAACAGGTGGCTCTGAACCATGGTTTGAAGGTTCTAGATCAGGAAAGTCAATCTATAGTTTGGCATAAAACTCTTTCTAAAAAAAATAAATAATTCATGCTTTGTGTTTATTTTCCATTTACTAGACCCTCTGGACTTTCATTGGACAACTGTTTGATTACACGAAGAAGATTGTGTGTTGCTGCTTTCATGTTTTTTCTTAGCTGGACCACGTGTGGAGCATTGGCTATAATAATAACTTATTTTCATTACATATTCAAGGTATTTAACCAGTAAGCTGCAAGGATGAATTGGTGTCTAATTAAAATGCTGAAATTTACAACTTTTGGACTAGTTTAGTCTGAATAATCTGTTCACTGGTAAGATGCTAAGCAACTATACAAAAGCATAAGATTGTTCTTGCTCTGGCTTATCCAGCTCATCTGTATATAGATTTACATCTGCACTTACATTTACACGTGCGTATCTCAGTCTAGTTCATTTGCCCTGCGTGACTGATTATCGGTTGTGTGTGAGATATCATTGGTATGGCCTAGAGGCATGGAAATTTATGGATGTAATACCTATTACACACCTGAATGTTCAACTAGTGAACCCAGACATATGGCTGGTAGATGGAGAACATACCTTCTACATACTGGGCTGGGATCACATGTTGCAACAACCCATTCTGTGAGTAAGCTGTGTAGGGTAGAATTTTACATTGAGGGGGGCATATGCCTTCTGCATTTTTTCTTTCAAAGAAACCTATATAGTCTTGTCAAAAATCCTTTTAAAAAGGGCTGGAACTTAGGTAGCTGTCAAAGCTCTGTACTCCTGCAAAAGAGGTGTTTTGCACTTTTCTGCTTTCCTGAGTACCTAGCATCTTGGGAAGAGTGTGCAGACACCGACAAGAGTAGGTCTTAAACCAACAAAACCAAACCTTGGAGGACCTCACCATAAAGGGGATGGTCTACTGGCACATCAGTTTGTGAGCAAAGATCATTTGTAGCATTGGTTTCTCTTGACAGCTCATATTTTGACAGTTGCCAGGAAAAAGCAAAGTGAAAAATAAAGGCCTTTGTAACCTCTCAGGGTCAATACACCTGTTGGGTGCCTTCTGCATGTTGATATCAGACAGCCCTGGGAATTGCCTTTGGCAAGGCTGCCCATTTTGGACATATGCACTTGAACAAATTTAACTAAGAAAACAAATTTAGAATTTGAAACATTTGCACATTTCTTGCACTATTTTTTTTTCTTTTAAAAGGGGCGACAAACAGAGATAGCTCTTCTAACGATCCACTTGGGCACTTTGAAGGGGCTGTCCTGCAATCTCTGAAAACAAAGCAAAAGGGGGTAAAGGTGGGGCAGGGGAAGCTGCAGTAAGCACAGCAAGCAAGGTAGGGGCCACCAACCCCATGATGCTTGCTCCATTATGCTACTTGGATATTGGGGGGGTGGCAATGACCTGACTCAGGCTAGCTCAGCCAGAGTGAAAAGGGGCTTTGCCTCTTTTCCTACCCTGTGTGCTTCACACAACTCATGATGGGGAGGGCTAGTTGGGTTCAGATGACCCGTGGTATCCTTCTGAATAGCCTGGTTGAATTGGGTGTTGAAGACATAGGGGAATTTCCTTATGAAGATGGAATTTCTCTTCACATATGCAAGGGCCTGTTTTGATGCATGCCCATCATGCCCTTGCCTGACAGTTTATAATGGTTTGCTCTAAAATGAATTTCTAATATGTGTTGTCACAGTAAAAATAAATGTTTATTTTTTCAGGTTATTAAATTATATTCAAATGTCAGAGCAGAATTAAGTGCCCTTAATACGGTAAGTCTTTTAAAGCCTCCAGAGAGCAGTATAGAAACATAATAAATGGAATGAAGTTTCTGTTTTGTATTTGTTCTGGTGAGCAGTCTGTCAGGTTCAAGATACAGCAGAATACCTGTTTAAAATTTTAAAAACCACCCAAAGTGTCTGCTGCCCCCTATTGGCCACAAGAAATTTTTGCCACAACCCTAGGCCTGAATCTGACATTGTGAGTAGACTGGGAGCCTATCCCCTGAGAAGGTCTCCTGTTCTTTTCTTGTGGTGAAAAACTTCCTTCAAACTGGAGTTTGCCATGCTAATTCCACCCACCAGTCTGAAATTTATCTTCTTGTAGTGCTTTTGTCAAGCTACTTGTATGTTCAGGTAGCAGTGTTCCCCTATTCTAGCTCTGCCTCCTTTGTTTTGCCTTTGTCTAGTTCTGTGGTAGGGCAATCTTCCCCAATCTGGTACCCCACAGATGTTTTGAACTTCATTTTCCCTTAACCCCAGCCAATGGTTTGGGACACTAGGAATTGTAGTCAAAAGTATTGGGGGGTGGGCACCAAGAAATGGGCAAATGTTTGCATTTTCTTGTAACAAGCTGTAGTGGTGGTACCACTGGCATCATAAAAGCCCTGGGAGAGAAGGGCCTAGAATTATAGCCCTATTAAATCATTTACTTATGCAACTGAGAATGCATCCAGCGGAGAGTGAGAATATAAGGTGGAACACTGTCTCATTCCTGACCTGCTTTCCTGGGCCCCAACTCAGCTTAAGTACAGGCAGGAAGAAGTTCTGTCCAGAACACACATGAGCCTACTGACCCTTGGAATGTCCTTCATGGTTTCAGCTGAAAAAAGAGGGCAGGGATCTCAGTATCACATTTGAAGAAGGAGACAATGGTTGAGTGAAATAAATATTGTACTTTGATTCAGATGTCAGTACTGCTGGTATTTCCATCACTTCTGATTCCAGCTGTACCATTGATACAGAGCCAAGAGCCAGAACCATCACCACTATTTTGGAACACAAGATAAGGGATCAGTTGCCATCTCTGATTCAAGACAGAATCTAACATACTTCACAAACATCTTTGGCTCAAGATCAAGTACAGCAGGAGAGCTCTTACTCCCCACTCTGTACCATTGTGACTCACCACAAGCTAGGGATTTAGACTGCAGCAGGAGGCATGAAGTTAATCTGTACTGATCAAGAGAGCAAACCTCAACTTTCTGCAACACTGAGTGTTTTAATTGATCACTCCCAATGAAGTGGAGCCTATTGTCAGAATGACTGGCAGTCATGTAGGGATAGAAAAGTTCATTTTGAGCAATTACAGTACCTAGGGGGAGTCATCTCCTTTGGTCTTACTTACAAGACCTCCTGCAGAAGAGGGTTTTCTTCTGCCATCTCTGCTGTCACCTCAGCCGTTGTGGTTCACTCAGCATGCAGCTTGCCCCCCACCATCTGTGCCATCTCAGTCATTACTGCGGCATACAACTTCATGTCCATCTTTTCCTCTTCTGATGTCCAGTGCCTGTAATGTCTCTCTGCAATCTACAATGGGAGATTATCATTCTGATTTAGCCTCTTTCTTTATAATGCCTTTGATCTTTTGCCAAATAGTGGTGCAGAACCAAGATCCTGCCTTTCCATCTGAAGACATGAAGCATTGTGTGAGCAAGTTGCCCCAATGGCCGTATTTACTTGAATTCAACACCCAGCGGCGGACACTGAGCATGAAAGACCCTGTCTTCGTAGCTTACACAGAGGCCTGTCCCCCAATAACAGTACCATTTTTGCCAATTCTCTTACAGACCATCTAACAGTACTGGAAGACACCATCACCCATGGTGCCCATATCTAAGAGGTTTGAAGGAATGTACTAGGTCCAAAAGAAAGATGCTCTTTTTCCTTTTTCCACATCTACTGCAAAACTCAAAGCATTGTAGTGTCTTCCTAGGGAAGCTGCATAAACCACTTTCTTCACACATGGACAAGGAAGGCCAGAGACTGGATTTAATGGGTCAGATAATCTGTTCCTCAGCTGTCCTTGGTTTACAGGTCTCCAGTTACCAGGCAGCTATGTCAAGGTGCCAATTCTTCCTATCACAAAAAATGGTTTCCTTCTGCAATTACTTACTATATGACTAGAGAGGACTAACACAGCTCTCCATTGCAATGACTGGCTGCACTCTGCATTATTCATATTGGATGCCCATTCTCATATTGAGGCAAAGGCAGATGAGGCAATGGACTGTGTCCTGAAAGTGAAGAATACTGTGAAGAAGATGGAGATAGGTCAAAACACCACTCTTCCACATTTTAGGTAATTGGTCTCAGCAAACTACTTTTCAGCCCTGCAAACAAGGTGATCATTCCTCAAGACAGCAGGTGCCCAGAGAACTGCAGTGACAGGCAAGCTGCCCATCTTTCTCTGCATGGTTCTGAATTTTGCAGAGAACTACCTTGAAAACAACAGATTCGCTGCTGCAGCGGTTCTCCCAGGAACAGAGAATGGCAGAACTGAGGACTGTGACACAGCAGAAGGCACAGGTTCTTCCTGCTCATGCATTCCCAATTGCATCGGTTGAGACAACTGAATAGGGCTTATATCTTGGCACATAGCTCCTAAATGGCAATGAGGGATTTCAGTTTCTTCACTATAAATTTGTCAATTCTTACTTTTAATAAAATAATTTAATTCATATATTTATATTTGTATAGTCCCCAAAGACTTTGGAACAAAGTTCACACTATTCCCAAAAAGAAATTGGAAAGAACTGTGGATCAGTGGGTGGCATTTCAGAGGACAGAACATCCTCTAGCAGCACCACAGCCATGGACAGCTTTGCAGACAGTCTTAAGATGCACACCACAGTCATCAACTTGCTCACATGGATTGTGTTGCTCAGTTGTCCATCTTTAATTTATTGGCTGAAAAATCTCAGGTAACTAGTTTGAATTTGCAGATTTTACACAATGGGGCTCTTCCATGACACATAACTGTTTCTGCATTACTTCTACTTGGTTAATTTAAAATATTTTATCTTGTGTCTTTAAATCTTAAGGCTGCTCACAAGAATTTATTAATTAGTTTATAACTTATGTAAGTAGTTCTTTGGGCTGAAAAACATTTTATTGTGGAATTAGGGTGGCATCTGACCCACCATCTTTTATTGCAATGTGTAGTTTCCCTTGTTCTTTCTCTCACTCTTGTCCCCAAATTGCCCTTTCCTTGCATGATCAGATACTGATACGTTGTCAGCCATACATTTTAGTTACAAAATTCTGTGGTTACTACTAATTACATTTGCAAGTGAACACAGTAAAATGCAACCTCTTTGTGTTTTTTCCTGTCTCTCTTTCAATAGGTACCACAGCAGACTTGATCCTGATCCATATAGATCTGTTGCTCTTGTACTCATAGCCATTTTGGAGATACTTATGAATACAAGTACCACAAAAGTTAAATCAAGGTATTCACTATGTCATTGTTCAGTGTGTAGTGTTTTAAGGCCTTTTCATTTTGTGCTGGTTTTCTTGCTTTGCATTACTCGGTGGGTTGCATCCAAAGGTGCCCTTCTGCAAACAGAGTTCTTTGTGGTCTCTGTGCATCTTATATATGGGCTCTGTGCCTCTGTGGAGCCTCATTTGGAAAACGCCTGCAACTGAAGGTTTTGGGTGGGCAGCCTTCCCCACCATCCAGTGCATGCATCCATAATAGTCCCCGCTTTCTCCTTCAGTTTTATTTTGGCTGCAGTTGTGACTGCCTTGGGGAAGCTTCTGTTCTTTTCAGATCGTGTTTCTCAATATTGCTGAGGTTATCTATAAACTTTCTCATTCACTCTTGTTATTACTTCCCATTAGCTTTGCCTTATTATTTTGTACTTCATTTTTGCTTTTCCTTACAGTGATTGATTACTTGAGATCACTGGGCTTCCATGGGCTGTATGGCCTTTTCAGAAATGTGCGCACTGTGGCAGGAAACTCCCTCCAACTTTTCTGAGAGAGAGGCACCTGGTTGTTACTTGCTCCCATTGTCATGACTTTATAAAACTAGCCCACCATAACAGAGTAGATTGGTTTAGGCTCTCCTATGGAAACAAGCCTTAGTATGTGTTGAGCCCCCAAGTTATGGCCTCTGACTCAGCAAGTAAATTAGCATTGACCTCAAGACTTCCAACACCTGCAGGACAGGTCCTGACCACAGTTAAAGCTGAGGCTGCGATGCCAGGCTAGGCACTCACCATCTCTTTGGCAATGGAACTGGCTTAAAAGGCACAGGGGTCTAAGGGCTCCAAGCACCAAAGCCATGAAAAAAGAGAGCTTGGGTCAGTGCCAAGTGCTGTACCAACAATGCACTTGCTGCTCTCATGTCCATGTCTGAGCTGTCCTATGCTTGTGACTGCTGCTGTAGTTCTGGCAACTGAATCGGCCCCATTGGCATTGGAAGGAGAGAATATTGATATATCTCCTTGAAATAGTGAGCCACTGGCTCATTCACACTCACCATCGCTTATGAAACGGTACCAAGAAATGTCTCCATTATTGGTGGCATTGGTCACTAGCCATTCAGAGCACAGAACGGGTCTTTATCAGAGTTTCTGTACACAGACTTAGTTCCTGTTCACCTTCAGATGGGGACAAACCTACTGCCTCTAAACTACTTGAAGGACAGTCCATGAGGGGTGTCACAATAGGTTACATTTGCAAAAGGGTATTGGTGGGGCTGCAATTTGGTCCAAACTGCCAACCTTCATTCACCACTTCCAGTTGGATATGCAAATGAAGGCAGATTGCGCCTTCAAGAAAGCAATCTTCTTGTTGATGGCACTGACCCACCTCTATTAAGTGAGACAGCTTGCTATTCACCCATGTGTGTGATCCATAGAGACCATGAAGAAAGGCAGGTTGCTTACCTGGAACAGTAGTTCTTTGAGTGGTCATCTGTGCATTCACACAATCCACCAACCCCTCTGCAATGTTGCTATCAGCTTCGTTGTTCATAGCTGGTAAATTTATTTCAGTACTGGTGCTGTGAACATCTATGTATGTGTGCATTCAGTTCCATACCAAACCTCTCCCTTGTTTTCCAAGGCCACAATGTCCGTTTCATTGGAACTGACGGAGAAAGCAGCAAACTCCATGGACATGCACACTAGGTGGTGAGAAGGGCTTCCCATCAAAACCCCTCAAAATATAGAAGCTTTCTGAATGACGCTTCTTGCAGAGAGAACATATGTGTATGAATGCCACTATGGCCATTTATGGCCACTCAGAACAATCTACCCTATCCTTCAATTCATGGAACTGGCTTGGATCCATCAAAGGCTTGTAGAAACAGAAGCAGATGGTTTGTCTCTCTGTGTATGTGGCAGGAGGTGATTTTCACTGGTTTCCCCACAAAGCTCCTAACTCCAATTCCTATACTTTTCTGAAGATGCAAGTCTCTGGCACCAATTTTTAAGAAAGAATGACTCCCTCACTCCAACTTCACAGAGCTTTGGCTCCAGCCCAGTAATTTTTGGACACAATGCAAGTGTGGCCTAGGCGCAAATGTGGCCTCAATTGTAAAGGCTGTTTTAGATCAGGTAGACCTGGGTTTAAGTCACCCAAGAACTCATCATGTAGAAGTTTCAGACTCAACTTCCACCTCTTAAAGTGTGCTGTTTTTTGAAGCTGAGTGTATAGCACTGTGGCCAAATTAAAAAGCTTACAATTCATAAGTTAGAGAAGTAGGTAATTCGGTTTGTTCTTACTACTGGAATGCTTGCATGACTTTTCAATTACATTTTGAACAGTGAATGTCAGTTATATCAAGTATGCTTAACAAGTTCTATTAATTACAATACATTTACTCTATGTAGGGCTAATATTGGTTACTACCCAGTATTTCCCTAAGAATATCTGAAGTTTATGCCATACATCTTACAACTCTAGTAATAACAGAACTGTGCTGTTTTTTCTCTCTCTCCTCACAGTAAACTTTTGAAGATTGCAGTGCACCTTCCACTTCCTTGTTCTGTTGCCGTTGTGGCATTTGCACCAATGCATTTATATCGAATACCGTATTTTGTAATCATTCCCCTTTTTCTTCATGCATTATGCTGTATTCTGTAAAATGCGAGTAATGAACATTATGGGTTCATCAGCAAGAGTATGGAAGTATGAACTAAGGATGATCTAGAACAATATAATTATATGAAAATAAATCATCTACTGTCAATGGCAGAAGCAAGAACAATGTTAGGTACATAAGGTGGGAACAATGTAATGGTAATGGAAAATGTTTGGAAAATGTAACGTTTTGTACCTTACTGTTTTGTCTTTTTTAATAATTGTGGAAACCTAGTTCTTAATCTGTGTTTAACATTGGTGATGGACACGTCAGCGTGGCTTGCTTGGTACTGAAGCAGTTTTGACTTTAAAAAAAAATGTTATATCCCACATGCTCACAAGTTCTAAAGCGAGTGCAGCTTACAAATGACTGAAAACAACCTATTACAAAACTGAATACTCCTTATCCTGTTTCAGCTGGCTGCCATAGCTTTGTCTTTCCTTGGGTCTGTGTGACTATCAGCACAAGTTGTAGCTAGATTATTGATGGCAAATCCAAAGCTATAATCCAAAGCCTGCAGATTTTTCAAATAATTGAAGTGGCTCAATACATCAACACATTTAGCATAACATTATTTAGTAAGTACAGTAAGGAGCAGTTCTATATATGCTCATTGTACTGTTAAATTGCAAATTCTGAACCTCAGGGCAGATTCTCAGGTTACTGTTTCTGTACAGAGAAATGCAAGCTTGCATACACTGAAACATGTAGTAATTCACATTAAATAGCTGCCCAAGTGTATACTTTGACAATAATTGAGTCTAGGAATAAAATACCAACATGAATTTTCCAGTGTCTGCTTATATTCAAGACCAGGATATACATTTGTGCAACTATTTGAAGGAAAGGATTTCAGTAAGTCACTTCAGGTTGCAGTAGACACTTGAATATCCAGTCCAAGTATTAATTTGTTTCTTTAATGAAATCCCCTACCATAAAAGCAATCTCTCTTCCTCTCATAATAATCACCCACCATTCCTTCCACCTTTACTGAATCCAGCTTTGGTTCCCACACAGTAATGCAAAACTGAATCCTGGTCAAACCTACTATAGTGGCAGGATAAGATGCTGTCACACAAGGGGCTCCATAAGGTAACTGATGGCTGTGTGCTAAATCACTTAGCAACTCGCTGGTTCATCAGGAATCACCTAAAGAGAAAACTATGCACTTCTGCATGAACCTTTAATGTTTTAGCAGTAAAAGTATACATTAAAATGAAGCATCTCTGTGTACAAACGTTTCAAAGGATTCTGCCTTCGTATAGAAGTATGTGTGTGATGTCCAAAGACAAATGTTGCCCCTCTTGTGTCCAACCATCACTTTAAAAATAGGAAATCATTTGTAAAAAGCATAGCAGGTTGACCTACCTATTTATAGTTGTGTACATCTCTTATTTATTTTCACTGCATCCATTGCCTTGAGGCCTAAGCACTGATCTCACACAATGGCTCCCTTCCTCCTACTGTTGCAATCTGGGAAGAGAGTCGTTTCTCTGAACCAAGGTCTGGTACAGATCTTTGTCCTGGTTTTGTTGAATTTGTATTATTCCCTTCTAAAGTGCCTCAGTTAATTCTGGCTTAAGTGTATTATGTCATTCAGTTTTCTCTGATTTACTTGAAATATTTTCTTTTTAAAGTATAAAACTCTACTGCAAATTTGCTAACAAGCTTAATTTTAAAGCCTGTTTTTAAACTATTAAGAGCATGATAACTAGAACCAGTATTTTCAGTTAAACAATCCAGAGCAGGATGGGTAGAAGTCAGTCCACCAGTGGCCTTTCTCCTCTGTGGCTCCATTTATTGCAGCTAGTAAAAAAAGCAGAGCAGTTTGCCACCAAAATTAGGTGACACACTGCTATGGAGTCTTAGGAATGCCAGATTTATCTTGTTCTCTTGAATCAGCAGCACTGTGGTAGGAGTGTGCCTTGCAGGTTGATAACTGGAGGCTGAAAATTAGTTTCCATACCCCTCAAAGTTGCCTACCCAGTTCTAGAGTTAAACCACTTGTGTGGTTTCAGTACTTTTCCATAATTGTTATCCTGTAAATGCAAAGCCAAGAATAATTCAGCAACAAATCAAGTGGCTCCTGGGCTTGACATCCTATAAAAATTACATCCTTGCTTCTCTTACTGGGCAAGCATTCTTTCTAATTCTGAGATCAGTTAATTGGGTGTACTAACCTGTTTATGGGAATAAAAAGCAATTTCTGTGTGTGCTTGTATACCGCTAGCTGGATTATTTACACCTTTTGCAAGGTGTTTCCCTGAGTGCACTGCTGGGCTCCTTTCCAGTACCTGGCAATGTAAGGAGATGCCACAAACCATACAAGGGCCTTTTTTACAGTCTGACCTTGAAGGGTGTTCCTGTGCCTCTAAAAGCTTCATGCTAGGAAGGAATTTGGCAAATGGTTTTTCTCCTGCCAGAATGCTACAGCACTTGCAATGCGATGGCACTTGCCGAATGTTCCAGTTTCATGCAGTTCCTAAGGACATGCTTCAAAGTCATAAGCTGGCTACTTAGTAGCATGCAGCTTGTGTCACAATGTGGATAACAGCCTTTTCTTTTAAAGGCCACTGTCAGGGCACAGAATTGCTTCTGAATCAGGACTGGCTTTGCTTTGCAACTTTTAACTGCTCTGCAGCTGGGGAAGGACTGAAGCTGCTCCTGCTCCAAGCTGACTGAACCAGGTCAGAAGCCACACATGCTGATCCTGATGAGGGTCTAAAGGCCAGTGTTTAATTTATGCCTCTGACAGTCTCTTGCTTTCAGGCTGGGGAGGATTTGGAAATGTGCATATGTCCAGTTCAAGAACGCTTTTAAGTACAGTTTTGCTGAGTAGCGTAATTGCTGTACAGATTACTAGGAAACCAGTACCCATTTTTATATCCATTTTCATGTGGGTATGGAGACATTATGGTAAAGCTACAGATAAGTTTTTACTCGTATGTGATGCAAGTGCATTGATTGAACTTGTGTCAGATTCTCAGTAAGTTAACATAGTTCTAACATAGTACTTTTATTATCCAGTCTGTGTATTGTTATACCTGGTTATGAAACAACACAGTTTTAGTTCTAGACTCTACATGTGTTTGTGTGGCTTTTACACATCGGGCCCCTAAAGCTTTTTGCTTTTTTGCACTTTGGATCCCCTCTCCCTCTTTTGTGTTTTGTTTAGAATTACACTCTTTCATAAAGTGAAAACAGTACGATCCTACCCATATTTTCCCAAGAAGGAAATCCCATTCTGTTCTATCAGTAGCTACTCAGTAGTGGTAATGGGGTTTACTCTGAGGCGAGTGTGTTAAGGCTACCATCCTGTATAGCCCAGGGCTCTGGCATCCATGAATACTGTGGTACCTGCAGGACCTGCAGCAGCACCTACCAAGACAGGCACAAAACTGCGCTGCAGGTTAAGCATTTCAATAGAGCAATACCTAAAGATTCCATTATTAGGTATTCTGTTTAAATAGAGCATGATTAATTTTGGGCTGGATCCAGAGCAGCATGTATATCCCGTCTTCCATCTGCCAGTATCACCACTGAATTCACTTTGAGAAAATCCTTCTTCCAGAACATAAGTGTTTTTTTATACATGGCTAGGTCCAAAAAGCAGTTTGGAGGATAAGAATAAGATCTGCTTAAAGAAGAAATAGTGGTACTTTGTACCACTTCCCTGTATCTCCCCCTTGAATTATAAAATCAGTTTAGAATCAGTGCTGCTTCTTGTGGCTAGGTGTTATGAACAAACTGAGAACAGTTAGCCACTAAATAACATAACACTCCTAAGGTTAATTCTGTTAATTCATGTTCAATATAAGAAACCCTTGTTTGGTTTTTGGTACTTGATTGTCACATTTATTTTTAGAAAACAAAACAGTATAGCCTGATCCTACATGAGTTTACACAGTTTTCATTACCTTAGAAAACCTTGAACTTGGATGAACTTATTAGCAACTGTTAATTTATCTCTGGATATTTTTTTGCCAATGAAATATGCTTGAACAACAAATGCTTTGGAAATATGGGCTTGGGCGGGTGAAGCCTTAACTTTTACAAATTCTTGGCACTTCTCAAACTGCATAATAAAACTTATTATTTCAAAGTATTACTTGAAATACTTTACCTGGAACAAACCTTACAAGTTATCTTGTTTAACTAGTGGTACAGTGTTAGCCAGCCCAATTTGCGGAATAGCTAAATTTATTTACTTTGCTATAATGAGAAGGAAGGACTCCCTGGAGAAGAGTCTAATGCTGGGAACAATAGATGGCAAGAGAAGAAGGGGATGGCAGAGGATGAGGTGGCTGGATGGAGTCACTGAAGCAGTTGATGTGAGCTTAAATGGACTCTGGGGGATGGTGGAAGACAGGAAGGCCTGAAGGAATGTTGTCCATGGGGTCGCGATGGGTCGGACATGACTTCGCGACCAACAACAACAACACAATAGACAAAGCTTTCTGGGCAGTTCACAACATTGTAGCATGTTCCATTTTTCCACACAGTAATTCACACAAAAATGCTGCAGTATGCCCTTAGAGCCCCAGGTATCATGAGTCACAGTCCAGAGAACTAGCAGCTAACTGCTACTCTGGACCTTTTTAAAGTAACTGCTCCTCTTGCTTTGCATGGCACCCTGCTGCTGAGATCTGGAAATGTTTGTAGACTTTGGGGGTGGGGGCTACTTGATGAGAAATTGTAAACAGGGACAGTAATATATATGAGGATGCATACCTCAAGAAGCTCTGTGTCTGGTAGCCATTGTCCCTACAAATTGAATTGGAGATGCATATCTTTCAGCAAAGAACAAGTCTAAAAATCAAGATTTAGGCCCTAATCTGCAAATTCCTCTGAAAAGTACAAATGAGCTATGTGGAATTACATGGATCAGGAATAAGAAAGCTGTGACCTTTTAGAAACTGCTGGGTTTCCATTCCTATCAGATAGCATGTTGAATGGGATGAGGGGAGCTGTAGTCCTTTATATAGCGGGAAACAAATTGCCAGTTGCTGACATAGATGATTGAACTGCATATACAAATTCTGTAGACCAGATTGCTTGTCTAAAAGGATTGTTCATATGTTAGGAGCTAAAATAGATTGTCTAGCATTTATTTACAGTGGAAGTGTGTAAGAGGTGACCCTCTAAATCAGACATAACCCACCAGTATGCTGGTCTGCCATCTTGTGAGGCCTGTGATGATGCCCTTCTTGGAACTTGAAGAAATGGAGGAGGGGGCAGGAGGGGTAGCACCTGATAGGCCAGGACATGGTTTTTTGTTTTCCGTAGAGGCAGCTTTATTTAGCATGCTTCCTGTAATCTCATATGTATGTTTCTGAGCCATCAGGAAAGTCATGTGTGTGTATGTGTGCGTGCGTTTAATTGGGGACATTGCTAATTTGTATGAAAAAAAAAGTTTGCTTTCTGGGGAGAGAATAAACTAACTCCACTCAAGAAACTCCACTGTGGTGTTTCATAAATGAAGTGTGTGACAGCTGTATAACATCCTGCACTGAAGGATGGCATGCATGTCAGAGTGCAATATCAAATCTGAAGATGGCTGAAATCCCCTCTGTGACACGACCACCTTCTCAGTCATGAAGGGGCAAGTGTGTGCCTTAAGCTAACCTATGTTTTGCAGTCTGTAAAATGGATATATGGTATTAGACTGTATTCTACAAATTCATTTCAAAACTAAAGGAATGAACTACGCAGCAACAGAAAGGGACTTTGGCAACAAAAAGGGATTTCATAAATAACCCAAAGCATTATCAAAAATGCTATTACTTTTTAAAAATTACATTTAACCAAAATGTTATTTAAGATTCTGTTTTGTGATTATTTCTAAAGAAAATTAGGAATACCTGATTTTAAATATGGGCACAGGTGTTTCAGTGTACTTAAGGAGTGACCATGCCCTAAATGTGTTTCTCCAGTAGTTCCAGTGGAGAAATCCCACCCTCACCCATATTTCTTGCCTCATTTATTTCCACACGTGTTTCCGGTTATATTTTGCTCTTAATTAAAAAAGAATCCCAGGACAAATTGATCTTCCCCTTCAAACCCCCACCTCCAGTGATGACTGTTAAAAGCAAGAGATCTGTATTCTTGTCTAAAAATGCACAGGGCTATGGATTGGAAAATGTAATTTTCTGACCCAGTATTGCACAATTTGTTTGATATAATTAACAAGATCATTGCCATTTACTGTTACTACTGCTTCCTTTTTTATTATTTAAAGGTTTAAAATAAAACTTGTTAATGGGAATGTGAATTGGGATATGTTTAAAAAACCTCTTATTGCATTTGTTCCAAAATGTTCACACCTATTTGTGCTAATGTCTATTAGTTGCCAATAGCTCTTTAAAATATTGTTCTAATTCTTTATTTGGCTTTTCTAGAAAGAGAAATAAAAAGAAATAAGTATCATATAATTCAGTGAGGCTGCCCATAACTTTCTGAACTTGGAGGGCTGAAAAAGTGCCAGAGAATAAGGTTGCCTCTGCGCTTCTGCTGTGCAAATTTAGATGGCCAATTTATTATTTCCTTCCCTGCCCTTCTGAACTCCCACAGTTGGAGGTCTTAGTCCCAGCTCTGACTTCAGAGTGTATTTCTGAAGATGGGGATGGGGCCCCAACCTCTCCTAGGACTCTGTTGGAGCTGGGACTTTACAGGTTTGCATCCTAAATGCTTCAGGGTGTTCTTTTAGTCTTCTCAGTAAGACGAACTACAGAGCTGGTGCTTGGGGGACAGGGAGGGGAGAAATGAGACTTGACTAATGCCTTATCCCATCTTCCTCATAAGCAGGCATAAAAGACTTTGCCCTCTTTTGCAGGGTGGAAGAGGCATGGAGGCAGCTTTTCCCCTGAATTCCTTCTGTCCTTGATGCCCAGAATTCTCAAGGTTCAGATGGTTTTGGGCAGCCACATTGGATCATTGCCATAACTGTCTTTCTTTGCTCTGTCTGTATTAAAAGAAATGGTACTCCTTAATTAAATGGCACTACTGTCATAGGAAACCTGAAAAACCTTTTTGCACAGTGCATGAAAAATTCAAACAACTTCAGTGTAATGCTAATCCTGAACCTACATGGAAGGGTAAAGAACATCCTTAGCTCTAGACTTTTGGCTCTGGCCAACTCACTGCTGGCATATAGCCCAAAACTTCCCATTCATTCACAGAACAAAATGGCACATGCTCCTGGAGACAAATTTTGCTCTCATTGTCCATTGCTAAGGTGAACTGAGAATGAATGTGGAACCTTTCATGTTTTCCATAAAGGGTTTACTTATATGTTTGGAGTACATTTTTAAATGATCAAAGTAAGGTGCAAGTATTTTTTCAATATTTTGTACAACATGTTATATTACAAATTTTAGTGTATTAGCCCTACTGTATCTTGATGCATTTTAAATTAGTGTAATTTATTTAAAAGTGCCACTAAATTGGTTATTGCCTGTGGATATTGTTTCCTGTATTTCTCTTTGCTCAAATGCTTTTGGGTGCAATGGTAAACATTTTTGCCTTCAGTCTTTGCTCAGGTATTTTATGTTGGTGAACATTGCTGCATTTCTTTTTCAATTGTAATATGTTGTATTTTGCATATTAAGAAAATAAAAACAATGAAAAAGAAAGATGTGTATTGAAATTTATGCAGTTTCTTTGAGTTGGTCCCAAATCAGATCGCATGTGAACAGTGACTCTGAAAACATCACACTGATTGGTTGCTTGATGCTTTTGTGTTTCTTCAGCACTATGTTCTATCAAAATACTTTAAAAGATAGAACATATTTATAAGAATTGTTAGCTTGGAAAACTAACAGGTGCTACGAAGTTTTTCTGGAATCTTGCTCTTTTATGTGGACAAAGGAAGCACAGGGACCAAAACTGTTTACATGTTTTGTCTCCCCTACACCAGCCAAACCGCAGTAGCTTTGGTAATGCTTTGTTGTTGGGTTCAGTCATTTGCATTTTTTTCATGGCCTGAACCTGGAAAAGCATAGTCTAGTTGGTTGACAAAAAACCAACAAAAATAAAACTATAGAGTTTCTGTATGTAGAAAATTACCGTCCATTAAAATTTGGTGCATTGCTTTGAAATGGCAGTCTACATGTAGATTCAGTAGAAGCACCACTTTGATATATAGTTAGAAAAGCTTTTGGTAAATTGGCACTCTCCGATGAAGCATGTACTTCTAGTTTTAATTGAATGTAATTATGCCATTCTGTTTGTTTCTATGTGTATTGCACTGGAAGGGAGATCCTTTTTAATCCTTTTTAAAGAAACGAAGCACAGAGCACAATACTAATGGGTGGTTTCAAACAAATTAATATATAAACAAACTAAGGTTGCTTGTACATGGTTTAAGTAACCGTTAAGAGAATTTAATAGTTGTAAATTGGCTAAGCCATGCTAACTTCTGTACACAGTAAAATGTAAATCTGTGTTCATGGTTCAATCTATTTTTTTAAAAAAAGCTTATGGAAAAAGGACTCTAGATTTACTTACACTTAATTTTGAATATTCCTAAATGGAGAGGTTGAAAATTAACCAAATAATGGTTTAAAGTCAACCAAATAATTATTTAAACTCAGCCCTAAACCTAAATCTTAAAATCA